CCCCCAACTTTTCACCGACCAGTCCTAGATCTAGACCTCTAGATCTATACTATGTGTCAGTGGAAAGTTGGATGTGAAAACGCTGTCCATCACTCTCTTTGTTCGGCGAGAGGGGCCTCACCAATTTTCTAGGCTTGTTTTACTAACGCAGGCTGTGCTGGTTGTAGTGAAAATGTCCCTTTGTCAAGCTTTACCTGTCGGCGTGTTCCGCAGATCGGAGTGTGTGTTTAGAGGGAGTGACCGTCGTGCGTTTGTACGTCTAATTTATATAGTAAAAAACCCGTCAGATGACGAAAGCGTGCGTTTGAGCGGAGTGTGCTTTTGTATGGCGTGCGTTTAGGCGGAGACAACTGTATATAATTTAGACGTACAAATGCACGGCACTCCCTCTAAATGCATGCTCCTATCTGCGAAATACGCTGACAGGTAAAGCTAGACTAAGGGAAATTTTCACTACGACAAGCCTAGAAAACCTGGTATTTGGTGAGACTGCCCCTTACGCTGAACAAAGAGAGTGATGGACAGCCTTTTCACACCAAACTTTCCACTGACACATAGGTCTAGGACTGGTCTGTGAAATGTTGGGGCGTTGGGGGACTGAAACGTTATTTGATTGGTCACTGGAATGCATCTCTTTTGAGAGAAAGTTTCTGAATGGTGTTTAAGGGACTGCGTATTGGCCAATGTTTAGTTAGACCTAAGCCTATGATGCGCAACACACGTGAATGCTCGTTCATTAATTTACGGTCGGGGGTGGTCGCTTGGAAAGCCACGTGGCTGGGATGTCGTCTCTGACTATCATCAACAATTTCTGTTCAGGCTATTGGTTCCCGACATTTTATGGTTCATTCATCAAGTCTGTCTTTCTGCCCCCCCCCACACACTCACACCCATTCAACGCCTTGGCAGTCTTAACCGCAGTCGGGGAATGTATTACGAAACAGTCACGTGTCGTCACATTATCGGCCAAAGTGACCCCGACCCAAAAGGGAGGTAACTAGTATATCAAGGCAATGAGAAGACTGCGTCCTTTCCTCCCTTTGCTGAGGTTCATGTAAACGCACGCTCCGTATAAACACACGCTAAGGAGCCTTCCCGGGCACCGTGCGTTTAGACGGAGACTACTGTACAATGATCTTCCCTTACTTTAAAATAAATTGACGTGACTCCTGGGCACTAAAAGTTCTTTTCAGAAGTCAGTTTTCCTCATTTTTGTGGGGGGGCTGGGACGTTTTATAAAATAGTGTGTCAGGTGGGAACCAGTTGGCTTCAAGCAATGCCCCCCCACCAAAAATTTATTGCTTTTCATCTCTAACAGAGTTCCCGGCCCATGTCATGATGCATCACAAATCGTTGTGTTGTGACCACACCGACCAATTAAAAAAAAAATGAAAGGCAGGTTCACTGCCAACAGATGACCACATTACGCAGAGGCAATCAGACAGTCCACGAGTATGGGCGCCAGTCTGTCTAGGAAGTTTGACCGCAAAACTGAAAGACGAGACCGATGGTCAGGAAAACGTAAGCCTCCACTAGTTCACAGTTTGATAGAATGCAGTCTGGTGCTTGCTTGTAGGCCCTTTACACCTAGTGTGTGATGTAAGATCAGGTGGACGGCTCAGGTGATCGATGAAAGCAAGGCATTGACGATTTCACACCTTGGTGCGATCCTGTCTGGGGTTAACATTGTAACCGCTATCAAGAGTTACAACAGAGGTGGGATCGCATTCATGAGAGTGAATGATCTGTGATGCAACGGACCGTACAATGATCACACATTTTTGCTACTTGGTTGATCAGCCGAGCTGCCCAGGTTTCCTATTCTTTTTTATTTTCTTAAATAAAGAAAGAAAACAACTAAATTATGACCTGAAAAATGGTATCTTGGCCGAATTTAGCTCCTTCAGAGCGGGATCTTAGGGATGACTAGTAAAAGTTCAAAACAGCGGGATCTTAGGTGAACCGGGACTATAAGCAGCAGGGTCTTAGGCGGAGACTTATTCTTCTACACAGATCTGGTCTCTAAATAGCCTGTGGTTAAAATCTATTGCGGAATGGTTGACAATTTAGAAAAGCAGACTATTTGCATTGAAAATTTGTCGCATGTAAGTTCATTTATGTACCATCATTCGTTAAGCTCAACATCTAGTTTGTAATTAAAAGTATTTCTATACTATAACCTTTAAAGCATAGACTATCAGAATACCATAAGAGTACTGTTGATTATGTTCCTAGCTTAAACATTACTTAATTAGAAATAATTGTTTATGTGGGTCAGGCTGTGGGTCTGTTTGTGAGTGCAAACAGAATATTAAAGGTTTGTATGTGAATAGATGTAGGTGGAAGAGAGGATTTTTTTAAAAGTATGGATATACTCGTGTACATGTGTATGTGCAGGCGAGTGTGTGTGTGTGTGGTGAAATACAAAATTGGTGAGCCAGCATTTGGACAGTAAAGATTTATCTCATTTTATCTTTTCTCAGTCTGTTTTTAAAACAAAATTGAAAATGGACTTAAAATAATATTTGATATTTCACAAGAAACTTTTCAAAGACAAAAAGAATCTATTGGTGCAATTTTAATTTTTCATTACGCAGAAATGTTCAAGTATGCACTTTAAGGTTGAACTTTGTTAAAAGCTCAAGAAAGACTACCATAATCAATGTATTATCAGTCGTTTTGGACTTCAGAGTCTTTTTAGATTTATTAATTTTTTAATGCAAGTTCAGAAAAAAATTAATATTTTGTATGCTGATAAATTATATATTTTCCTCATTCTAAATTCTTCATTTTAAGTGCTTGTGCCTGGATTTGAAAAAATGCAGAAATGAAGATTTGTATATGTTATTTCCTCTCTCCCCTAGTGTGTATGCCGATACATGTGAAGCTCGAACTGATGAAAGTCATCTCCTTATTAAATGTACAGTTATGATCGCAGTTGTTCTGCCACTATACTTGGTTTCACATTATCATAAAATTGAATCCTGCAGAGATTACAATACATATCTGGAGCATGATGGTACAGTGAACTTTACCTTCCTGACGTCCTATGATCTGTTATCTTGATTCTCCTTGGATATTGTTCCTCTATGGACACTGAATATTACTATATTTTCTCCAAGGAGGTCTTAATTTAACTGAACAATACTGGCCTGAAGCTGCTGTTTCTGAATTTGTAATGTAATTCAGCAACACTTGACAAGCATATTCTGTTCTTAAGTTCTACAAATCATCACATTTGAGTTGACTCTCTTCTTCCTGACTATTAGTTTCGTTGCTGACAACATGCACCTCTTACAATTATCATATGTGGCTGGTGCAAACATAAGACTGTGTTGCAGCCATTTTTTATTGTTGTGTTTGTTATCTTAGATAGCTCACAATCTGTGTTTGCTGGACTTGCTTATGTGTCATGTTAGCATAAGGTGTTGACTAACTGTATCTGCTATTAATACTGCCTTATTGAAAAATTGTGGTTTCACAGGGAGAAGTTCTGTTTACATTCTGTTTCTTCTCATTTACTCTGTCAGTCTGGCTTGACAGAATCTGTCAGGAACAGTAAAATCAGTTTGCATCAAGCAGAGGAACAGGTCCTGGAGTTTGTAAAGCAGCACACTCCTTCAGGGGTTTGCCCAATAGCTGGTAACTCAGTTGGAAAGGACAAACAGTTTCTTGAAAGGTTATTAACTTATTATGTGTTCCTTTTTTTCCTGTCTGTTTATCTTATTAATGATGTTATAAATACGGCATGGAGAAGAAAAAAAAAGAAAGAATTTAGGCCTATCTGTTCACTGTTTGATAAAATTAGTGATGTCCAGTTCATCTTTTTTTTTTTGTCTGTCTTAAAAAACAAGTGAATCAGTGCCTTTTGTGACTCCTATAAGCAGTGCAAATGGTCCACAATTTTGTTAGGTATTCTCTCATGTTTTGACCAAAGAGTTTAATTTTGTAGTTTGCTATTAATTCTACCCTGTATGCCTAGTAGATTTGTCTTATCTGACACAACTTAACTCTTACCGGACATAGTTTTTCAGGGGTCTAGACGTAATTAACTTGTGGCTCGATTTGGCTACACAGGTGATGTACTAAATAACTATATAAGCACAACCATTGCTCAAAACATAAAATATATCAAATTGAAGAAAATTAAAGGAGGCTTGTTCCAACATAAAACAAGGATTAATTTTGAACACAAGTTTGCATTATAAGGGTTAGAAAGGGCGATGGTGATGAAAAAAAAAAATTTTGATGGAAAAAAACTACATTCACCAAACATATGATAGCAAATCAGCATAGTTATCTTATCACATACAGGCCAAGAGCATAATCCATATATTTTTGAATGCGTAGCTTTTTATTTGAAAGCAATATTCCAATTTTTTTTTAGTTATGATATTTATACTGAGTCCGGTTACATTCTTTTTTTTTATGCAAGACCACAAGAACTAATTCACTCATTTTTCGCCAAACTGACGCTTTGACAAAGTGAAGCTAGATATTTTCCTGTCCTAAATCCTTTCCAAGTTTTCAATAACAATAAAAAGTAATTATATAAAAATAACAGATCATGTTAAAACGAAACAATACTGAGGCACCGTATCACAGCTGATATAATATCAGCGATACGTCCGCTAGGGGTGTGGACTCGCTCCGATATATCGGCGATATGTCCTGAAAGAGTTAATGGTACTAAAAATAAAGTAAGTGCTAGGACTGTTCATACCATTATTTTCTTGGACTTGAAATAAAATAAACGCTAGAGTTCATAAATTAATGTTCCAATGTAATATTATAATGTAAATAGCTACTGTATACTGTTTTATCACAATGGGCACTTCGTTTTTTCTTTATTTGTGCAGTAGCAATTTATTTCTTCACATAGTCTTGCTCCTTTTTCTTTTTTTGACTCACTCACTCACTCACTTAAAATGTAAAGAACATTTGTCAGTATACTTTACTTTAAGATACATGATTGATAAAAACATGTCTCAGACGAAAAGTTTTTTTGGGGTGGAGAGTGCAACTCATTATTAACATCGTGTAAGTAAGCATACCTGTCTATAGAATCGCTTTCCTTTCAGACTCAAATCCAACATTGAGTTTAGTACATGTGCTCACAGATCATGTCTTTTTTTACTTTCAATATCTTAAAACATAATTTTTCTATCCTTTTTGATGCCTTATTTTGCCAGTTTTTCAGAGGACTGTAGATTTTCTATCCCATTACCACCACAAGCCGCAAAGCATTTCCCATACATTGGCTGTTCTTGAATCTGGTTGTCCTTTGTCTTTGGCCTTTTTACAATTTTGCTGGCTGCTATCTTATCGGACTGAAATTTTGTTAATCATGATTTCTAACATGCAATGTCTATATGCAACTAGCCTTTTTTCTTTTCAGATATATGCCTCGTTTAGCGTCACATTTTCATTATCGAATAGTGGATGTCAGCACGATCAAGGAGCTTTGCAGGTACAGTAAGCATCTGTCTGCTTTCTGCAGTGATTTTGCTACCCCGTAAAACTGACAAACAGTTCAGGTAGCATTTTTTATGTGTGTTTATTGAGGAGCAAGGAGTTTTCCCGTGGATATTATCCCTTTGAACCCTAAAACTTCAGATTTACCAAATTCCTGTCCTGAAGGTTTTTTGAGAAAATTTCCTGAATTTCATGGAAATTAACCATGCAATGAAAGATAAAAGGCTAAAGAAAGTGAGACACAAATTGACCCGTAAAGTGTCTTTTGTTGTTGCTTGAACAACTTGACTAATTGCCTGAACAGCTGTCATCTTTTGCACAAATACACTGGGAAAGTACTCAAATTATGGAGGCAACCATCTTAATTACCGTGATCCTAAGCAGTTGCCCAGGTCACTCAGAGTAAGTTATTGAAATAAAGAACAAAGAATGATCGGACTGTGTGTCTCGTGGTACAGCTCACACCGGTGCAGGATGACAGGAAATTAGGCCTACACCAGTCTACCGGTGTAACAGGCTCAAAAGGTTAATATGTATAATATTAGGATTTGTAGAAGAAAGGAGTAGAAGGTATTCTTATCAGAGGCCATTTTACAAATAGTTTCCCCTGTTTGCGGCATGTGTAGTTCGAAAGATCTGTAGTCAGGATAGACTAATTATCTTGAAATTGTATGATATTGTCTTCAGCAGATAACAAATGACTGATGTCTAGGTACTGTTCTTTTGAAAAAAGTAAGCAGAGCTCTCATCACTATAATTTTATTCACACAATCCTTTTTCTTTTTTCTTTTTGCTGTTGTGGTTTTCTCCGTAATGTCTGTGTAGATTTGTTTTATTGAATTAGAAATATCTGTCTGTCTTTGAAGGAAAGTTTTTATTTTTTCCAAAAGTACTTTGTATCTTTCAATTGCTCTATTTCTTTTTCAGGCGATGGTATCCAAACTTGGAAAAACGGTTGCCCTCAAAGAATTTAAGTCACAGGTGAGTTACTGTGCTCCTTTTTGATACTTTGTTATTTGTAAGCTTCAAAATTGCCTTTTGGCGAGGAACACTACTTAACAATTTTTCTTTTTTCACATGCCTGTATTCAAAGTCATACGGTACTGTGGATTGTTAAACTGTGTTAATATAGATTTTTCTGTTGATGCCTCTGATGTAATATTTTTGGTTTGAAAAGTCATGGTGAAATTGTTGCAAAGCCAGATATTCTGCCATCTCTTCATCAAAATAGAGCAGTTCAGAAATAGTTTTCAGTTTGCTCAATTAATTACACATTATAAACAAAGCTTAATTATTTACAGCAACTCATTATGTAATGAAATGACTACTTGCAACCATGTGATCATACTTTATTACACCATTCATTGTCATTGCGTCTTCTAAGAAACAAATACTGTCTGGCACACACATAGTGAATACTCCTATATAATATAGCAAACATGCACAAAGCGAACAGATTTTTGTGTCCCGGAAATTCTCTTACAAATATATTTCCTTTGTATTTAAAACATGTACAAAGCATAATTCGTCCATAATTAAAAGATTTCTGCTCCCTGATTTCACTATATGCTTGCTAGATTGTACATTAACCCCCCGGGTCAGTGCCACTGACTGTTGTGTCTTTAGGCCATTCCCAAAGGGGGGACATTTCTCGTTCAAGCACAGTAGAATTGTAAATGGGCTGATTCATCATGTCACGCTCATAACTGTGCCTGATCTGCGACTGGGAACTGCTGCTTTTTCTTTCCTAATCCTTACTATTGTCTTTTTCCTCTACTTCTTTTGTATGTTTGTCTTTCTTGTGACCCGCTATTTCCAGGGTGCCTTGATAGTCGAAGCAGACTTTGTGCTGTTGAAGCTAGAGAGGTGAGCAAAGTCTGATTCCTAGTAAGGACTTCTCTGTTGACACCCATCTCTTGGCAGTCATTTGACCATATGCAATTGCGAGCGCCGTAAAACCCTCTACTAAATAAAATAAAATATTGACAAGAGTAACAGAAAACCTATTTATGTGCTAGTCCAAACACTTTGGAATTGACATTTTGTTTGCTCTTCATTAAAGACTGCTGATGTACAGAATATGGCAGCAAGATAGAGCTTTAAGGGGGCCATCTCATCTTTTGTCCAGCTGTGACTTCAGCGTTGGCAAGATCGTGTGGGTTACCAAAATTTCATAAAGAAATTACTCTTGTCATTGGTATTTCATTTTAATGCTGAATGGCTTCACAACACATTTTGTGCCAACCTATGAGCACCAGGGGTTTCCATTCTTACTTTTCCGTTTTACTATTATTTCTTTTTCAGAGCTCTAGATGACATCCGTGAAAGTATAGAGGAACTCAAGTTTTACAAAATGCACATTTTTAAGTGAATGTTAATTGCTAAGTGTTAGATGATATGAAAGAGAAAGCTCTGTTGTGTTTGTTCTATAACATGAAATACACTACTTTTTTATGCTAATAGGATGTGAAGGTTTAGCCATGAAATATAAAGGAGACTTCTTACGCGCTCTTACATTTATTTTGAGTGATCTTGTGTAGTTCCTGTCTTAATGAAAAGATAGTTGGTAAGCCTTCTTCGGAAATTGCTTCTGCTGATACCCATTCAATTGTTCTTTGGTCTTAATCTGCAACAGTAACTTAATTTTTCCTGTGTTAGTTTTGACTGGATAGTAAAATTTCATCCTGAATAACTCAGTTATAAGTAAGCCCCTGTCATCACCATTTGATATCTTGGTTAAACATCTGAACAGTGATGAGGAATGTGTTAGCTCACAACATTTTGTTGGTATGTTTTTTTCCGTAGTGTCTTATTATGAGATTGTTTTGGTTGTGAAATATTTTTAAAACAAAAAATTTATGTTTTTGGTGTCTTTTCTCTTGCATACAAAAATTTAACAAAAGGAAAACATTGTCCATGTTCTGTTGCAATTCTAGAGATATAAGCATGTCCTCTGTAATGTCGGATTGTTTTTCCGTTTTGTTTCTTAACCCTATCCGTACGTTGTGTTTTACTATTGTATCCATACGGTGTGGGGAACTCTGTGCCACCTCTTTCCAAAGCGGAAATTTACTCGTTAATCCGATCAATACGCTTTACATAGCAGTCTGTCTAAATGATTTTTTGGAGAAATACTGAAAGTTTCAAAGAGATCTTCGCACTAGAAGTATTCTAAAATGTGAAGAATACAACCCCGGGGGTACAAAATTACCCCTGGGTGTACGGATAGGCTTAATTATGATAATCGTTGAAAAGGGAAGTGCATTCTTGTTAATGATTGATTACATTGTCTCTTACTTTTTGTTTGCTTTACGACTGCCATCTACGTACTGTGCAGAACATTGTGTTTACTGTTTGAGATTTATTTATAGTTTTGTTATGAGCTTGATGTTTTCCTCATATCTGATTTTTGATTGACAGTTTTCTTTCATAGCCTTGCCCTTTATAGAGTAAGTGTTTGGTAAAATAGAGGGCTTGCTTTTTATAAAGTATGAAAAATGTTAAAAAGCCCCTATAAGCATTTATCATTAGTGCTTATCATCACTTTGCAGTGTCACTTACAGAAAAACATGATTTAATAAAGATACAATTCTCTTGTTTCCAAAAATTAAAAATATATTGAAAGCCAGAGAATTTTTGTTCAGTCTTCCTCTCATAGAACTAGAACAAGTTGATTATTGTTTGACATTGTATCATATCATGTTCTTGTTTAATTCCAATTACCATTGTAACTTTAAATGATAAAATAAATGTATAAATTTTAATAGTTCTGCTTTTCCAAATTTTCCTAGTCATATGTTGTGTACCCGAGGGCATTCTTCAAGATCATGTATGATTTTGTGTACGTGTGTGTATGTATACACAAGTCAGGGTATTCTGTGAATTTCAAGTAGGCTACCTTTTGTTCCAATATTTTCGTTCCCCTTTTTCTTTCTATCCTGGTCATAGACCCTATTAGGAATAGGTACCCATGTCTACAGGACTCATTTCTCTTGGCAAAGTAGGCCTATCTGGCTTAATGATCAGCTTCTGGTAGTTCTAGTGCAGGTGGTATCAAGTGCCTTGTCTTCTCAAATAAGGATAATAGGAACTTGGAGATTCTTTGTTATGTTGCTCATGTTCAAAGTAAAGAAGAGCAGGCTGGCGACCCAGTAACAATGCTGTAGTCTTTTTCAAATAATTTAGGGAATCTTTGTAAATGGGGCACGGTAAGGATTATGTTCAAGCTTTGCTCTGTTGACTGGCATGTGCTCTCATAGGAACCCCTAATGCCTTTCTGGTTATATTTTTCATAGATTTTTGTCTTGAAAACTATTGCCATGTTCAGGTTTAGGGTTGAATATATGTAATGGATTAGAGTTGCTTAGTAAGCTTCATTGAGGGTCTCCAGACGCTCCAGTAATTGTCTTACATTGAGTGAGATCTGGTATGTATTGTGTCAAGTAGTTTTAATGACATGATATTTGTTATTAGATGGATGAAAAAAAGTAATTATAACCCAAGGTCATAAAAAACTAACAACTCAGGATGCTGTTCTCAAGAGACCAGCAATCATGTTTGTAAATAATTTGTTAAAGTGTGCAGTGTTGTATGTTAATACATGTACTTGTGAATTGTTTCATCTTATTTAAGACATGCAACTGTAACCAGAAATTTCCATCTGGGAGAAATAAAAGTATAACAGACGAATTGGGTTCCTGTCGTAATGTTCAGGTAATTTGACAATACTTTTTTACCGTTTATGAAGTGAACTATTTTATTATTTTGTTTGTTGACATCTAGGTATTGCTACAGTCATTTACCATATGCATCCATGGGCACTGGACTAAAAGAAATTTTGGAATCTCCAAAGGGAGAAAGTATCTCCCACTTTTTTTTTCATCAAAATCAATGAAACACCTTGCATCGACACATGCATCTAACCTTCAAATGACCGGCAGCGAATTTAGACTCGACAATATAGCATGTTTCTTATGCATGAACTACTGATGCGAACCAGAGAACTTCTGTTACTAATGTTGGCTTACTCTTGTCTAAGCAATCGTTGATTGGCTGACACGCTGAGCATTACTTGTTGCGTGTCATAGGGGGTATCCCAAAAGCAAGTGGACCCCTTCAAAGTGCAAAGTTTTTCACAATTTTCGATTCATTTTGCTCAAACTTCACACATGCCATCACTTAAACTATAATAATCAGGGGGACCTTCATGACCCAAATTAACCCGAAGTTGATTGTGTAGATTTTACTAATTTTATGATGTGCCATATATTATGATATACCTTGTAAGCAGGGGAGGGAAGGGGATAGCTTAATGCACTTTGGAGAGCAGACAGTGACTTATCGTGGCCTTGGTCTTGCACCACATGGTCACATTGTCGTCTCCCCGTGGGGTTGCGAGACTTGTAACGGGAACATGATTGAATTTAAAGTAGGCAAAGGGCGTTTAATACTGCAGATCTATGTGTGCACCTTTTCCCAACTGTTGTAACTTTCTGATTGCGAATAGTTGTATAGCGGATAGATAGAGCAATTATTATTTTCATTAGGTAACCTGTGCATCTCAAATAATGACAAGTCAACCTCCATTAAAGGCTATTTTGCTAGAAAAAGAAATATAAGGATGATGAGCTTATATCACTGGAAAAAAATTGGACAGATAATTGATCAAGGGTAATCTTTCTAATAAAAACAACACTATTTGTTACAGTATGTAATATTAGTGTGATCCCATTCTAAACTGTTGTTTTTGTGGGGGTTTTTTTTTTGGTAAGTGTTTTACGGCGCTCGTATCTGCATAGGGTCATAAGAGCACTCGGGACACACCTAATATTTCCAGTTGGTAGGAAATTTTGAATTTTGCCCGGGTGGCGGCCGAAGCCTACTCTTGTTGAATTTAGACCACCTAGGGATCTTTAACATGCGCAACTTGCACACGGGCCCTCCAAGATTTTTCGCCCTTGTCCGAGAAGGCTAGGTGTAGATCTTTCCTACCCGATGATCAGGGGTGTGGTTGAAAGACATCAGTAAGAAAGAGCCAAGGAGTAGCAGTAGAATGGCTACTGAAAAAGTCAGGAACCCAGAGGAGGGGGCAAAGGAGGTGAGGGGGTGGAGGCAGAAAGAGGAGACAAAAGCAGATGACAGAACATTGCTAGAGAGCAGGAAAGGAGGTAGGTGAAAGTGAAAAGAGACAATTTTAGAGAAGAAAATGTTTCGGTGGCTACCCGGATTCGAACCCGGGACCTTTGAATGAGAGGCCAACACCTTAACCTCTAGGCCGCAAGAGCCCCCAAACAGGGTTTGGCTGTGACAAGGACGGCCCCGGCCCACTGATTCAGTGCCTCTGCACTGTATCAGTGCAGAGACACTGAATTAATTATTTTGTGAAAGTAAAAGCTGGTTGGCGGGTGCTCTGATGTGGTTTAAAAAAATCTATCATCCCTATCTCCCTTCCCCTTTGTGTTTGTTACTTTCTTGTAACACCTCTAATCTTCGGCACTCATATGACCTTATTGTGTAGCAAGTGCCGTAGAACTTTTACTAAAACTAAAAATAAGTTTGAGATCATGACATGATTGGGTCGTGTGGGGTTGGAGAAAAGGCAAGCTGTTTTTTTTCATCTCTCTCTCTCTCTCTCTCTCTCTCTCTCTCTCTCTCTCTCTCTCTCTCTCTCTCTCTCTCTCTCTCTCTCTCTCTCTCTCTCTGTCTCTCTCTCTCTTTCCCTCTCTCTCTCTCCATCTCTGTGTGTGAAAGATGGAGAGGGGGTAGGCCTGCCCGGGCGTGGGTGGTCAGAAATTGTGAAAGTGAAAGCTTCATCGTCATTATATAATATTCATATTTAACTTGTTGAAAAGCAAGTGGTAGTTACATACATCAGTGCAGTGTTCAGGGTGTCGTGCGTATTGTGTCGACGGACCCTTGCGGTATTGCACAGGTCGTGCGTTTTCTACTAAAAAGCCTCTTTAAAAACTTGCACTTAGGCTAATAGCTCACCTTTCAAACAGTGCTGATCCTAATTCCCTTTTCTAGCACACTGATAAATTGAGAGTGAAATAAATCGCTATCACACACACACACACACACACACACACACACACACACACACACACACACACTCACACACACACACACACACTCACACACACACACACACACACTCACACGCACCTAAAAGGGTTTCGGTTCACTTGAAGGTCTGTCGCGATAAATGTCTTAACTGTAGATCTAGTTTTCCATCTTCTCCACGTCCAGATAGAGAGCAACATTCAATTGTTCCTTTACTTTACGTTTATTCGCCGCTTATACCCTTTTGGGTGTCGCGGGAAGAAAGAGACGTCTCTTGGGTCAGGGGGATGCCGTGGGTGGTTAATGTTTCCCTGACTCCATCTATCCAGGTCTTTCTCGGTCGCCCTCTAGCCTTGTTGCCGTCGAATTTTTGGATGTAGGTACGTTGTGCTGGATGGTGTGTTGGTAATCGTAGGAGATGTCCGAACCATTTGATTCTTTGGTGTTGGACGTGATACATGACATCATTTGTGCCCACCATTTCTCGGATTACCGAGTTTCTAATTTTGTCTCGCCTGGTCTTGCTTGCTGCTTTTCTTAGGCATCGCATTTCACCGGTTGAAATTCTTTCCTACCAACTGAAAAATGTATAATGTGTCCCGCTCTCGTATGACGGTATAAAAAATTATAGGTCGACAGGTGGGGGCGCCGTAAAACGCTTCCCCCCCCCCCCTACACACACACTAGAGTTATTGAGATGGCGAAACAGAAGCCCTTATAGTATCTTCTTCCACTTGAAGAAAATCCAGCATAGATATACTATAATGTGTAGAACACTTGGTCTGAATGTCAAACACACGACGCCCCCAAACTATACTTCTAAGAATTGGTATCTATCATGTATAGGAGGCGGAACATAATTGTTGCTCCTCAAAAGAGACATAAAGATAATAAATAATATGAAGACTTTTTAATTCTCTGAAAGATTTCTTCATTGACGTGGTTGAATGGGAAATTCTCTGCCGTGGCATGTCGCAGCAAGGTTTCTGAGAAAAATTAACAAACAAACTCAACAGTTTGTAAAGCAGAAGCAGTCAGAGAAGCAAACATTAATCAATACAGTCAAATCCTGACATTGATATTGCCAAAGAGACCACACGTGACTCTGTTTGGAGAAAATTCTTCTAAAAAATAATAGCACTTGAAGTTGAAGGTCAAAAGTGAAGCTAAGCTATAAGAATGTATAACAAATTAATAATAGGGCTTTGTTTATTTGTGGCGTTTATGATCAGCACAAGTTGCTTACTATTACTTTCTCTACTTATTTGCCTTCATTATCATTACTATCTTATCATTACCATTAAAATTATCATTATTATCATAATATTATATTTATTATCATGATTATAATTTTGTGTTGTTATTACAATATTATTATTTATTAGGTTATTAATTGAACGAAAAATTTGAACAACCAGCAGAACTTTTCAGAATCATAAATCAATAAAATTAGTCTCATAGACAAGGGAGAGAATTGTTTTTATTTATAATATCTCATAACAACTGAGCCGAATGCATCATCAATTTCACCTAGAGATTTGAGTAAATTTGATTTTTATTGTGTTATAATAAGATCAGATAGTCTTTTGATAATTTCAGTATTTTTTTTTTAATCTACTGGTGCTTACAGGGTGAGTAGTGCTCATTAATTTTCTATAGGCAGCATGGCAAATGCAGGAGGATGCTTGTTTCGCATTGGGTAAGTGCCTACTTTATTACTTTTAAATGTCTCTCTCTATCTACTCCTCTCTCTATCTATCCCTCTCTTTCTCCCTCTCACTCCCTCTCTCCACCCCAGGGCAGCGCGCCCACAGCATAGTCCGATTTAGAGCCGTCTGTGAAAATTAGCTCCACACCGGATTATTTTTCTACAAGTTTTTGGTATTCTCCTTTTTAAAATATTTTTGTGTTTGTGATTGCTTTGGTGTGTGTGGTCAGCTGTAAGTCTATTTTTGCCTTGGTGAAGTGCCACGGAGGGAGTTCGGGGAAAAGAAACTGTTGGATGTCCCGTTTAGAAAAGTGTATCTTTTTAAGGTCCTCAAGGACGATTAACTGATGAAACTCGTTGTTTTTAAAATTTGTTTATAGTAAAAATTATACTTATAGTGTCTGGGTTTGTTCGAAAAACAGTCGTGTCCTGGGTTCTCTGGTGTTAAGCTTTGTTTAATTGCGTATTGTAGTGAGAGTTGTATCATGCGTCTGAGTGTGAGTGATGGTATGTTTGCCTTGGCCTTGAGGCTCTCCACTGGAGAAGTGCGGAAAGCCTCCAGGGCGAAGCGGAGTCCTTGGTTTTGTACTGGGTCTAGCATTTTTAGGACGTGGGGTTTTGCCGATCCATTAAAGTAACAGCAGTAGTCAAGCTTGGACTGAAGGCTGTGTGCTGGCCGTGGCAATTGGGGCAACAAGGACTAGCCTTGCGTTCCTTTTCAGGATGTCTGGTCTTGCCACAGCGAGGACACACGGCTGCGTGTCGGCATCGCATCTTGCTATGTCGGCATCGCGACTGGCTATAGCCGAACTTCTGACACTTTGAGCAGGGCAGAGTGTTCGGCACTTAGGGTCGCACGTCAAGGGCAAGTAAGTTGCCGGAACAGTGGCTGGAGGGCAACACGAATCAAAAGTCAGAATGATTGTGTTAGTTTCAAGGGTGGTCTCCCCCCTCCGAAGAGTAATCCGATGGGCGTGGGTCATATCCTCCCAATTTGCCACAATTTCCTCCATGCTGCAGCCCTTTGGTTCATGGCTATGGACGACCCCCTTTGGTACCACACGGATAAAATGGTACACCCCCGAAGGTCATGGTGTTCTGGAGCTTGGCCACTTCTGTCTCTGTTGCGCACTTGACAAGGAATGCACCACAGAAAAGCTTCTGAACATTCGTTTGAATGTATCCCAGAACTTCCTGTAGTGCTTCTCCTGTCTTGAACAAATTCAGATTAGTGATCCTCTTCAGTGCGTTTTCTGCACTGGAGATAGCCACATATGGCTGCCGCGGAAGCTCCCTGGGAATAGGGAGGGTAGAGGCAACACAGTAAAGGTCCTTTTCTCTTCCGTGAGCCGAGATTCTTGTTAACGTCAGAAGCTGGGGACGGGTCTTTAGAGAGTGAGAGTTCCATATGTGTTTGGATGGTGTTTCGACCCGGTGGCTCCCCACCCACCATCGAGCCCAACAAGGGGGCACTTAGCTCGGATGACCAGAGCTATGCCAGGGCTACCCCGGAGCTATACTCTTCATGAGAGTGTACAAGACCCTCCCAGGGGGTGAAGGAGTTTCAGCTCTCAACCGATTGAGTGGCATGGGCCGTGCCACCCTCCTGTCTAAGAGGAAAACCTGGGCCAAAGAAGTGTTTTGGCGAGGGACAGTCCGCTGACCGATCTCACCTCAACCTCCTGGTACCCTGTTTCTCTCCACATGAGAGTTTTACTGCACATGAGGTCGGCGGTGGAAGAAGAGATAGAAGAAGAAAGAAAAAAGAAAGGAGAAGAGGAAGATACACCAAAGTAGGCTTCCCACCCGAAACCCAGAGGGTTGGGATCCGTGTGCGACTCCTCGTCATTGGAGGAGTTTTACCTCCTACAGACGGGGTAGTGGGTCTATTCATTCGGTTGTCGTCAGCTGATGTCGCTGGTGGTTTTGTTCTTGAGTAAATCATTGATGACGGCCTGTGTGTGTGTGTGTGTGTGTGTATGTCTTTGTTTGTGTTTGCGTGTGTGTGTCTTTGTTTGTTTCTGTTTGCGTGTGTGTGTCTTTGTTTGTTTCTGTGTGCGTGTGTGTGTATGTGTGTGTCTTTGTTTGTGTGCATGTGTGTGTGTGTCTTTATTAACCGTGTGTAAAACGCAAGGAAATTGCCTTGGTGACTTGAGTAATGATTTCTGTGTAGATCAAGATGTTTGAGTACTGATGTTTGTGTACATCAGTGTCTTAGTAGTAAATCAACTGTATGTGTGTGTGTGTGTGCACATATATGTGTGAGCATGTGGCATCGTATAAGTGTCATTGTGTGTGTGTCAGTACAAGTTTATCTGCATTAAACAAGGAGACATACATTTCTTTGTTCTCCCTTTTTTATGCCCCCCCATCCCCGTTTACATCACTCCTCCACCGTGCTCCTCTTTCCTTTTCCTCCCCTGCTTTCTGCCCCTTCATCCCCCCCCCCCCTTTCCGCCTTCCCCATACTGCCTTCCCTCTTTGAGTCTTTCCTATAATGTGGATAATGTGGTTCCCCCTAGTATACTGTCTTTGCACCTCACAGTATCCATTTGCAAACCTTGCTGTCTCGAATTAGATCTACTCTTTTGCAGTTCAGTGTCCTATTGAGCCCAATCTCTTGTACTCGTAAGTGCTTAATTTCTTGTGCTTACAAAACTTTAAAAGAAACGATCCGGATCGAACCGGTCGATCATTTGCGCTGCGTCATTGAACTGTCTTTCGTACGTAGGCCTACTCTTAGTCTTCTTCTCAATTTACCTTGTGTACAGCGTCAGAATCAATCTTGGCGGAAGAAGGGTGCTGCACATTCACAGACAACCGAACCGAACAGTTTTGCTTGTTGCAAAGAAAATAAATGTAATCCGAGTCGGCCGGCTGCCGTCGTGTTGCCACCATGGCTGGCAACAATATCGAAATCCCCCAATGACATCAAACAAGATGGCTGTTACTATAAATGTCGGCCAATGGCATTTAGTTGACGTTCTCTAGCTATCCGCTTGTGTAATTTTTTGCTGCAGACCCATGTCATTGAACATTGTCATGAAGAATTGTAGATCTTAGATCTCTCGAAAGATCTAGATCTAAATTATTGGTCGAATCAGGGATTGTAATAACCCCCCCCCCCCCCATTTGGAAAATTGACTCAGATAAGTGTAAAACGGGAGAGAAAGTTTAAATACCGTATTAAAGGCTAGACGGCAGCTATTCGGACTCGTCTGAATAGCCTCCCGTGGCTATTCGGACTCAAAACTCCAATGCGCATGCGCAATCAACGTGTGTACCGGATGTGAAGCGGACAGGCAATTCGACCTTGGCCTTCCTCGATTTTTACGATCTGACCTTAATTTTTTACACGAATTAAGAAAAGTATTAGTGATGTCAAAAGTGAACAACAGTTGCAAAATCTGAAATACTACACAAGAAAGGCAAACAGGGAAACGGCACTCTGAGCTCAAAGCAGTGGAAAAAAATTGAAAATCAAAGTTTCAGAACAACAAAGGATTATTAAAACTCTATCAATATAGGTAGTCTGAACCCGCTTTATTTGACGAGAAAAACAATGGATGTCATTGATCAATTGAAATCCGGTCAGAAATTAAGAAGAGAAAAGTTAAAACCTTTCCAAAGGGAACAAAAGTCAGTCATTCAAAGTAACAGGGGTCTACTAAAGGAAAATTTTTTCCAACAGCATATTTTACATGATGTTAAAAAGTCAGGACAATACAATAGGGGAGGCCTACATATTCTGATAGTGTTATATGGAATGCCCATTGGGAATGAGATCGGGTCGGGTCAGGGGCGATGGCCCTACTTGTCGCTTGAAAACAAATGTGTTTGTTTTAGAGTCAACTAGTCGGGCGTGATCAGGTTATGCCACCATAGCCACTTTGCGCCCTCAATCTGGCTTGCAAACGGCCATGACCAGACCCGATTCCCCAATGGGCACCCCGTATTACATTTTATCCGCGGATTGGAGTTTGAGTCCGAATAGCAACAGGAAGCTATTCAGACCCTATTCCATATAGCCACTTCGATTAATATAATAAATTAAGCCTACAGAAATAACTTAACTCTTTCGCTATGTATCATTTTGGGCTTGTGGGCGATTTTTGGGGGGGAGGGCGAAATGAGATGATGACTAGTGCGCAGTTCAAAGGTCTTTGGGGACATAAATTCAAATAAATATCGACATATTAGTAAATATCTATACATATACATTTTCAGTATGATTTGTGGAATACATCTATAATGTTTATTTGTGTGTTTTTCAACTTTTGTTCCTGTAAGAAGCGATTATGCAACACAATTTCGCTTGGATGCAAATACAATTTGAAAATTAAAAAAAAATCATCTTTGGTGAAACTCAAAACATATGTTTGCACCTAGTCAAATGAATACCAAAATATCCATAAAGGAATACAGGACGGGAAAGTATTGAAAAATTTGCCATTATATATGTACAATATACATTCCACAAAATTTGTACATTTGTATCATAACATCTGATATTGGGGAAAAAAAAAATCTTGCAAAAAGGACAAGATGCATTCACAAACAGAAAAAAACACTCGTAATGGAATTATTCAGAATTGCATTTGGAAAAAACCTACATATGTCTTGAGTGGTAATTTTTGTGTCATTTCACCCCCAAAAATACTGATTTTTGGGGAGAAAAAAATATTTTGACAATTTTGACTAAATATTGTAATATTATCATTGATTTGAAATTTTTTTACTGCACATCATTGTTTCACATCATGTGTGTAGTGGTCTTCTTGAGACTTAATCATGACATAACATGTCAAAAATACTATGGTTTTGAAGTGTCACCTATATTTTCTATATTTTTTGCCCCTGCAGATATTATTTGTACACAAGGACGAGAGTTGGCTACTACTATCATCAGAAGGATATCAAGAAAGCAAGAGAAAAGTTAGGCGACACTGGGCACTCTGATATGAAAGATTTTGTGGTTGGAAGTATGTGATATTTCTATATTAAAGTTGAAGTAAAATTATGCTTTGAAAGATGATACATTAAAAATAGTGTGATATTAATTTAAATTTTTTGGGGGTTGCAGTAGAAAATAGTTTAGGCCTTACCTGTTCAATTAGGAATAAAAGTATTTTCTCTTTTATAAAAAAGGAAAAATAAAATCTTTGTTTCCCCACATCACATTTTAAAAAGTGTAAAACAAACATTTTTCAGATATCAATCAAAGGTTCATCAAGTATTACAATACGAAAACAATTTCAACATTACTTAACTGTGCAATTCGGTGTCTATGTTTGTGCGAGTCACTTACGATGAGTGTCTATAATTTGTCTCTAAGCTAGTCATTTTCACAAGCTGTTAAATGAATTTGTCAACTTCCTTTGAAATCGTGACCAATGTAGGCTATAAAGGGAAACTGTTGATGTCCGTGATTCTCACTCACTGTGGTTGTACTGTTTGTTTGTACAAATTTTAGCGTAACTTTCATGATAGATATGAGGGAAAGTTTGAATTGATAGAAAATAGTTGGTTTGTTATTTCTCTTATACCCCTTTGGTATTGTTCCTTTTGAAAAAAAAATAAAAAAATATTAATATTGAAGTCTCTACGTAGTTTAGACCATGAATGATAAATGTGTTATGAATTCCATCTGATCTGAGGAAGATCTTTGTCCTAGATAAGCTGTGAGTGAAGATGTTTAAAAGTAAATAGTAACAAATATTTTGTTGCTTGTAACCTATCTGCCACTTTATATCTAAAAAAAATTGCTTTGAATAAAGCTCACAGCTTGCAATTTTAGTATTCTTATGTCACCTCTTCTCTGCTGTGGTGGTGTCTGTCTGGCTATCTAGCAGGATTATGTAGTAGGATTATGTGTACTTAGTCCTGTTAGTGAAGGGTTAATATTGTAACTTAAGTGTCATGTATGAAATTTATATCTTGTGGAAACCAATCCTTCTTGCCTGTTTGAAAAAAAATATTCATAAAGTGATCTGTGTGTCTAAGTGTCACATGTTGACTGTAGCATAATATGAATTTTTACGAAAATATTAACTAAATCGATATATTTGTGGTCTAGCTCTGTGTAGCTTAAGGTCAGAATCTACCCAGCTTTTAATAAAAATGTTCTTTCTATCTCTACTATTCCTTCTTGCTAAAAAAGAATATATTTGTAAAAGGTTTAGATATTTACTTTATATTAAAAATATGATAGAGAAAGGATAGTTAGGTAAACTTACGAAATGCATGTACTAAAACTTAAAGTTTTTTTTTCTTCTCTTTTCTAGCAACTCCTTTTGGGTACAGAATAAGTTTAAAGGCAACTTGAAGTGTATGTTAATAAAATTAATTTACTTGATTGAGCATGCGTGTCATCTTTAAATATACAACTTGTGGTGGCTTATAATATTTTAAGTGTTGTGAAAGAAGAGAAAGAATGATTTTTTTCTTTTGTCTTTATCTATTTCACAGATTTGAACATCTTGCCAATACCTATGTTATTGGACAACTATGCCTATCTAGTGTCTGACAAGAAGTCCAACAAGTCTGTTCTGGTAGATCCTGGTCATGCTGAGGCGGTGCAGGTACTTTTTGTTAGATAAAAGAAGCTGCTACAGACTACAACATCCCCACTCAAATGAGCACTAAAACAGGTGTATCTTCAGTCTATAAACAAATTATTCATTTGATTTGTTTATAAGTGTCAACAAATGGTGGATTTCTTGCTTGACACATTTATTTTGACTACTCTATGGATGTGAAGAGCTATCTGTGTGTAAGCATAATGCAAGTCTTGGTTTGGAGGGATGTCAAATGGCTTTTCATGTCAATATTTTAGTCAGAATCCTCCCCCCCCCCCTTTCCCCCTTTCTAATTTTCATGGTACTGTACTGAAAATCAGACTACCCTATACATGTTAATCCTTAATTTACTTGAAGCATATATATCAACAGTAATAGTTATGATATTTACTAACTCATTCTCTCCTTAAACTGTCAGGTGCATAAAGTGACATAAGACGGAGAGCAGTTGACACCTTGCTTGCCTGTAGTTATGCCTCAGGCAAATTCATTGATGAGAAATAATAGCAATAATTAGTTTTGGTTGACTGTAGATTTTGGGTTTACAGCCTTCCTATCTACTATTAATATATTTTTTCTGTTACCTCAGGTGGCATACATACTTGCATTTCTTATGTAAGATATGATTATAATATCACAAAGTTAAGAGGATAGGTAAATGGTAGGATCTTGAGTGGTCTTAAATACTGCTTACATTTCTATGGATATACCGAATAGGGAGCAAAGTTCAACCAATTTCTCAATTTATAGTTTGGCTAGGTGGCCTTATAGTGTTACTTTTATGTGTAGAAAGTTTACAATAGTCATTGCTAAAGCAGCACCTTCTTTTTTAATGCTGTGTAGTGTCTCAGCAGATGTTTAATAATTTTAGTATGCTCTTTCCTGAATCATACTAAGCTTGAAATTTTGTCATTTAAAATTGGTCTCTGAAATGTTGGTCATAAAGACACTGATGTTTTGCTTTTTTCTTTTTTTTCTTTTGTGTGTATGCCCTCTAGTCTTGTTCAGTTTCTGATTAATTTTGATCAATATTTCCAGAAAGTTCTTGCTCAGAGAAATGTTGAACCAGAGGCTATCCTTGTGACCCATAAGCATTGGTAGGTGCATTTAGTTTTTGATAATTTATTCTATGATCTGCTTCTTTAGAAATAGACTGGTCTAGTTATGTCATATCAAAGAGCTGTTTTGAAAGTGACAAATACAATGTAGTTTTAGAGTTCAGATTGTCGCAAAATATGATTTTTAGTTCTCTGTTTTCAGTTTTTAACTGAAAAGTCACAATTTAATTAGATCCATTTACAGATAGATCATATCTTGGACTAAGAGGGAGAAATTAGAAACAAATACCTTCCCCACTCCCAATGGAGAAGGGAAAAAGAAACAGACCCGTTGTTGCACACAAACCTCTGTAGTTAAAACTATTCATTAGATCCCATTCCTATTTTTAAAAAATTGAACCATCAACTCTTCATTGCTATGGCCACTGTATGACTAATTCATTCCCCACAAGTTGGTAGGGAAAATATTTTTAAAATATTTTTAAAAAAAATTGATAACTTATTGTAAATATTCTTTTCTTGAGATGAAAAATTGGAAGAGTTCTTTTTATCACATATTTTTTAATAACATAGTTTTATGAACATTATGTATAGAAGTAGGCCTACAATACTTTTATTTTCTCTTTCATATGAGTTTGTTGCGTGTTCCAAAATGGAAAGGACTGAGAATAGGGGTTATGTGGTTGTCAGACGCTCAAGGAGTTCATTTTGGAATGTGACTTTGTATTTCAGGGATCACAGTGGTGGGAACAAGGAGCTGAAAGAACAATTTCCTAACATTCCCATATATGGAGGTTCAATAGACAATGTTCCAGATAGCACAAAGTAAGTTCTTTATGAATAGTTGTTCCTGTTATGGCTTTGTTTTTGCTCAGTATATCATTTGCTGGTTGTGAGTCCTCTTTAGATGTTACTTTAAACTTAAAGCAATAATATAGGATTTCAAGTCTCAAAAAGCAAGTATCAAAATTTCTACATTGTTATTGCTGTTAGACTAAAAGATACTGAAAGCGATGAAATTAAGAATAATGTAAAGAATTGTAAAAGAGCTGCCCACATTCATTCACACAACAACTTGGAGCTAACAGCATAGACGTAGACTATCGTGTATTGCTTTCGACTGCCACTAGTCATGTTAATCATCAAATCAAAGAAAATTGCCTGCGGAAGCATAAAATATGAGAATCATGAATGTTTCTTGACTTTGTTGAGTGAAACACATTTACTCAGATGACCGCACAAAAATCTGTATCTGATTCCCTTACAGATCAAGGTCTTCTTCGCTGCTGGATTGTTCTAGATGATCTTAGCTGTTTTCATTGTCAGTCATGATGCTGGATCTTGAAACGGTTCCACTGCTCTCTCAACTGTGATTCTCCAACATTTAAGCTACTATTGTGTTTCAGATGCCATTGTGGTACAAACAGCTGTTGTTAACCCAAATAAACTGTGAAAAGTTCTCACTTCAGTAGAAGAAAATCACTTTCAAAGGTAACACAGGCTCAGTCAGCACTTGAATTTCATAGACAAATAGGCCTACGAAACTGGATGTAAACACACTTCGATCAAAGATAAAAATAAATATTAGAAGAAATAATGAGAAATACCTATGAATGTTGACGTGAGTTTGGGATTTCCCAACTATTGCTACGAGTGTTGTTCCATGTTCAAAGAGTTAAAGTAATATTTGTACTTTAGATGAACCATTTATTTTATGAATGATCTGGCAGTCAATAATTGCAAGGAGAACAACTAAATTCACGGCTTTTCGTGACGAAAAGTGCTGCCAGAAGGAGCAAACATGAAGGTTTTAAGCTTTTTTTTTTCCTGTTTTACTTCTTGGCTGATTTACAGAATATAGTCATGTTTCCATTCAGAGATTTGTATTTCCTTAATCGGTTGATATGTGCATAGTGACCTTTTTTTAAAGAAACATTTTACTTTGATTGGTGTCATGATGTTTACTTATGCTTTATAAAAATTTTCCTCCACTTACCTTCCTCTTAGAAAGGGATCCTTCCATTGAGAGATTTGAAGTACCTTGCTGTGTGCACATCTGGATCTTGATAAAGCCGTAATATTTTTTTTCCGTGCTTTTATTTTATTTTCTGTGGGTGGTTGGCAGGTGCTCTGGTGTGGTTTGCTTCTTCTTTCCTATCAAACATCTATCGTCCTTATCTCCCCTTCTTCTTTTTTATGTTTGTTTCTCTCTTGTAACACCTCTGATCTTCTGGCGCTCTTCTGATCTAATGCAGTTGCAAGCGGTGTAAAACCTCTACTAAAACTAAACTAAAACTAATTTTCTTTTCTTTTTTCTTCTACACTCACAGTTCCCTCACAGAAGGAGACACTCTTCAGTTTGGAGATTTAAATTTTCGTGTTGTGTTCACTCCTGGCCACACTGTGGGTCACATTGTGTACTTATTGGATGGAAGCGTCTTTGGCACAGATGACTGCTTATTCTCAGGGGATTGTCTCTTCTTGGGTGGAGTAGGTAAGTTAGGCTTGAAGACTGTTTTGCACTTTTAAAAGAATTTAGCCTTCTTATTGATGCAGTAGGCCATCTCAACGGTAGAGCACTTTGGTCCATTGATGAGAGAAGAAAAAGGAAAAAGGAAAGAAAACTTTGCGCTCTCAGAAAAGTGAATATTATGAGTATAGATGTTAACTTTTGCTGCACCGCCTGTACAAGTTTTAACTATAAAAGTTTGTGTGCAACAATGTGTCCGTTTCTTTCCCCCTTCTCCTTTGGAGGTGGGGAATGTACTCGTTTCTTATGGTATATGATTGAAAATTCGTCCTTTTGTCTACATTTATCAGATTTTTTTTTGTTCCCTTATCTCTCCCTCGTCTCTTCTTCCCTATCTTTCTCTCTGTACATCTCTTTGCCCATCCCTCCCTTTTGCCCCCCTCTTTCTTTCTTTCTCTTTCTTATTTAAGGCTGATAAGAGAATGGTTAAGTGTCTAGTGGGTAGCATTTATTGAAAGTGTTTTGGGTTTTTAAAAATTCCCATGTTCTCCCTCAAGTATCAAGAAAAGTTATCTGAATGCCTTTAGGTACATTTCTGTGTTTTACATGCTGCTTAATTTATTGATAGCAGCAACCTTTTGTCTGTCTTGGTTTCAGTTCTTTTAAAAGGTTCGGCAGCAAATGTTTTTCATCAAGTATTTCTTGTTATATTTTCTCTTAGCTTGTGTACACCATCATGTCTTTTGGTATGTGAAGTGACATAATATAAGTCCTGCTTGTATTTCAATAGTGGCCTCCTGATGTTTGTCTCCCTTTTTAATTTGTTGGACGACTCTTACCGTTGTTCTCTCTCAGGGAGGATGTTTGAAGCCCCTCCTTCCACAATGCTGAGTTCACTAGACAAGCTCCTGACTTTACCCCCAAGTACAATGCTGTGGCCAGGTCTGTGTGAGGAGCCGAGTCATATTTTTGTTGTTTTAAGTGTATCCTGCTGCTAGGCAGACTGTGGCATGAGCCTTAGCAAATGATGTTCCAGAATACGAAAAATGTTCATTTATATTTTTAAAAATTTGATTAATTTTTAATGAGATTTACATCATTTTCTGAAAATATATGAATTGTGCAGAATTTTTGGAGGAAGGAGATCATAATTCACGGGGAGAACAATATGTACTTTTTTTCTGCAGTTTTATTGTCATTTTGACTGATTGCATGAGTCGTTACTTCTCATGTATTATTGTTCTCTAAGTCACAAAATATTTTATATTCAGTCAACAACCCTTGTTATGCCCCCTCCCGTTATACCGCCTTGTTTTGCCGATGATGAAAAGGTGCGCCTATTTAGATCTAAATATAATATTTATGCCTTCACACCACCATCCGCCATCTGTTTGAGTTGTGCGATCCGTATTTAACTAATGTAAATTTGCTCTTCCATACTGCCAGCGAACTGACCACCAGAAGTACACTTTGCACACAGCACACCACACCCACTGGTTGGCTACTTGATAATCTGTCTTCCACGAGAAAAACATAGAGATATAGAGGACTCTCTGCTCTGAATACAAGTGCATGTACATGTACATCACCAATAAAAAGAAACTTTTAAAACACAGATCACATAGCAGAATCTTTGGCCAACTTCATGCTGGTTCCAAAGGTGGCGGTATAGCGAGATTTGACTTATTTCAAAACTTTTGGTATGATAGGCAGATTAGATGGCAAAATTTGTGAATATAAGAATTCCAATGGAGAAAGAAGGGAGGGTGGACGATGGTCTGATGCACCTTCCTGTCTTCCTGAAAAGTTACTGGTATTTTGTTTTTTTCTCTCAGGCTGAGCTCATGGGTCTTGTAAAATATTGCCCCTTTCAATGTCTAATAGGATTTAAAAATGTACCAGGTCTTTTCTATTAAATTGGATCATTTCTTTCGGAGAGCTGTGAGAAAAGGTGAAAACAAAACAAAGTAGGCTACTTGTCAAATGTAAACTGTAGGCCTATATTGCATGTAATAGATGTATTGTACATGTTTTAACTGAAATTTTCTTTTTCTGACAGGTCATGAGTATGCTAAAGATAATTTAGAATTTGCTGCCCATTTGGAACCTGATAATGATGAAACTCAGGTATGTTCTGCTGGAAAAGTCACTGGTGAAATGGTTTAAGAATGTTTTCATGGCTTGAGAGAGAGAGAGAGGGGGAGAGAGAGAGAGAGAGAGTCTTTTTTTATACACATAAATTCCATTGAGATCATAAAACTTTCTGGCAGGCTGAAACAAATGGTTCAGGAGAAAGGATTGTTGGGGATAAATAAAAGAATTCTGTTGATTTGGTATGGCTTCTAATTTTATTTTAAAAGGCCAGATATTTGAAGTTATTCTAAAGTCCACCTTCTTTCTGACCATGCTTGATAGCCTAATACTTACTAAGCTTATGGCAGACAGCCTGAAAAGAGCATTATGGACCTTTTAGGACCCAGGGGAGTACCAAATCATCATACCTGTACTTCAGTATTGATCTTTTTGTTCCTTTTCAGAGAAAGTTAGAATGGGTGAAGGAGATGAGGGAGAACAATGCAAGCACAGTGAGTACCCGTTCAGTCTACTCTTGTTGCAGCCATTATGTTACTCTCTTATGGTCTTTTTAGCATAAATGTTCTTTGTAATGGAATGGGAGATTGTTTAAGAAATGAGACAAAGTGAAGGGATTAATATATCGCGACCTCAGTGCTTTCTTTTCGTATCTCCTTTTTTTAATAACAGTGAAAACAGTTCATAACAAAGAGTGAGCTTAAGTCACAATTTTACTGTTAAAAAAATGGAGATACAACAAGAAAGCACTGAGGTCGCGATATAGGTATGCTGACAAAATTAGTTACTTCTGAGATTTTAGCCCTGTAGACATCCAATTTATAGGTTGGCTTTGTACAGTTTATTTGTATGGCATGATAGAAGACATGTTGAACCTGAAGAAAATGATATCAGTTAAAAATCTACAAATTTGGCCCCTGTGTCGATTTTTGGCTGATACATATCTCCTTTTGCGGATTGAAAGATGTAAAACATTTTGTCAGCACGCCTTGTATACTGTTTTTCAAATGATTATTTGTGAGGCAGTGTGGTGGAATCAGGCTCTCGTCAATTTTTGGGCATATAGAGTTATTTATGTCATCTTAAAGCTTGTTCATTTGTCTTTATTTGAAGGAAAAAATATCCATTTATCTTGAATACAAGTCGAGATATTTGCGAACGAAGGAGTTGGGGGGGTCACCTGTTTTCAGAGGTAAAATTAGTGAGAAAATGGCTGCCAAAGATTAGTTATTTCCTTAACGTAAGAGTCCCTGGTAACTGAAAATTTACATTTTTGGTTGCTTTAATCAACGTTTTTAAGAAAAATCCACATAGAAATGAGTTCTTTCATGGGCATGAAAAGTGTTGAGCCAAAAAAACAAAAATTTGTTAAAAATTCACAAACCTGCAAAAAAATGCAAGTTTCTTCACTTTGATTATTTTGACGAGAGCCTGATTCCACCACGCTGCCTCACATTTACACTTACGGCTTTTTCAACTAAATGTCTATTTCAAAATTTAGCCAATATGAGGTTATGTACTTTGAAAGTATTCTCAAGATGTTGTAAGGGAATATTCTGTACTGAAAAGCTTAATATATAAGGCATCATGAAAAAATCAGGCTCTCCTCAAAGTAACGAAATTGAAGAAACAGGCAATGTTTATAGAATTTTTGTTTTTCAGCTCAACCCCTTTCATGTCCATATAAAAAACATATTTTGATGTGAATTTTACTGAAAAACGTTGATGTAAGGCACAAAATATGTCATTTTTCAGTTTTCAAGGATTCTCTAGCTATTGCAGTTAGCAAACTTTGGCGCCCATTTTGTGGCTAATTTCACCACAGAAATCAGGTGACCTCACCTCCTTCAATTGAAAATATCTTGACTTTTATTCGAGATAATAGATAGATAGGTATTTCTTCTATTGAAAGTAAGGCAGATGAGTAAGCATTCAGGTGATACCAATAACTCGAAATTCCCTAAAATTGACGAATGCCCGATTTTAGTTATGTCAGTGATTGTTATGTTATCTCTTTCAGTGTCCATCCACGCTTGGAGAAGAAAGGCTTTACAATCCGTTCCTACGTACGTCTGAAATGTCGGTGCTGAGAGGTGTAGGGATGATGGACAGTGGGGATTCTACCAAGCCGTCTGAAGAAACGCGTGCAAGAGCGTTGGGTCTTATTCGAGAACATAAAGACAAATTTAAGTATAAGTTATAGAATCTGCTGTAAGGGTTTGTTTTCTTTTTTTTTTCTTCAGTATGAACAGAAAAGTTATATGTATGCCTTTATTTGAGTTTACAACATTGCATTGATCCTTACAGGAAAAACGTGCCATTTCGAGGATACTGTGTTGATTTGGGCTTTTGTTGAAAAGGAGAGAAATGAAGACCATGTTTTATTGTTTTATTGTTTTTTAACACAGCTACTTTTTTATATTTGTGACAACTGGGCATTGATGATGTTTGATGAGTTTTGTCTTTAGTACGAAATTATATGAGTTTTCTTATTTGCCGCATTGAGTTTAAAGTTTTCAGAATGCTTTTGTTTTGCAATGTGGATTGCTGTGTTAACTCTCTCTTCATTTGGATCACTGAATAACCACCTAATGGCGATACTGTAAGATGCAATATGAGTAGAGACTAATGGACTTTAGGTTTTTTTCTGTCAATGTTACAGACTTGCTCTGTTTGGAAATATTAAGTATGTCATTTTTATTGCGGAGTGTTTGGAAATATTAGTAGGCCCCTATGTCATTTTTATTGAGGAGTGTTTAAACAATGAACGGAAACAGGAAAGAGGTGGAGGAGACTTCTAATGCCTTTGCATTCCTGACAACTTACTCAGTTCATTAAGAAATTATTACTTATGTATTGGATTTAACATGGAGTGTTTTTGATCAAATCATGGGAACTTATTTCTACCCATAGCATTACCATTCTAATACTCAGGGGAGATAATATTTCCTTTAATTTCCCAGTCGCAAAATGTCTGATGGAGAAAAGAAATTTTCTGTGCCTGTGGCTAGTAAGTGAATTTTAGAGAAAGATATAATTTTTAACTGTGTTTTACATGGGGGAAAATGAGTTGATACATGATATTTTCTATGTAATTTATTTTTGTGGCATACTGCTGTTCTCTGTTCTCATACAGTAAAGAAAATTTTGTGCTGCACAGATTATGCTGGTGATAGACATTAACTAATTTTATTCTAAAGCCTTTGTTGTTTTTATTTTTTCCCTGATTTGGTGCGGACTGAGAGTCTGAAAAATCCTTCATATTCTGACTTTCACCTTTCTTTGTGCTTATTTGAATACTGGTTTTGTGTCTTTTTTTTATTGCATGAAAGATGGAGAGAGAATGGTCTGTGTCTTTGTTGTACTTTGTGCTGCAAAATGTGTGGCTAGTCCACTCTCTGCACTGTAAGGACAGTTTTCTACATGTCCATTTTATTTTGATTAAAATAATCATGCAAACCTGCAATGCCTTGTTACTGTTTCAGGGATCCACACTAATTTTTTAAATTTGTTAATTTGTAATATACACATGTAGCCAAAATAGCATCCCCAGAGACACATGGGAGATTGGAAGCATTGCTATAAAGTCTTATTCCATGTCCAGTACTTGTGTTATTACTGTCCGGCCCCTTGCATTAAAAAAAAACTTTTATGTTCTCTCCAACTCAAAGATATACATGCAAAAGTTGGAGACCCGTTCTTGCTCAAATTTTGCTGTGAAGTTGGTTTTTCACAATGTCAAATGTGTGGTTTAGTTTCCCCTTTGTTTATGGTCTTTGACTTTTACTGTGTGATGGCCCGAGGGTACAGAATTTATGCACTGTATATTTACACTCTTTCTGTCAGTTGTGTTTTTGTAATGTTTTACCCTGAACCTGAGATGACTGCTTGGTAAATCCAGCTTCCTCCAGGGTTAGGTGTATGGAATGCCATCTTTGCAAACAACAATGCAGGCAGGAACCTGGAACTGGACAAAATACTTTAGCATGAGCATGAGAGACAGCTATATATATCTGAGGGTTAATAGGCCGGCTCTGACTGTGCTTTGCCATAAAGAGTGCCTCGAGAGATCTGTATGTATACTTTGATTGCATTCGTTTTGTTTTCTTTGCAGTGAATTTCTTTGTCTTGAAATAAATGAAGTGATGAGAAGAATATCATTGGCCCACTGGTGAGATGTACTGAGTCCAAAGTAAAAATAAAGAATTTTATTGCTACTTCTAAAGCTGTGATACTGGTTGATATATATATATTATATTAATGAAATATTATTCTTTGGTTGAAATTACAATTTTAAGTTGAAAAAAAGAAGTGAGAAAAGATACACATTAATGTAGGTACAATTTGTAAAGGAATTGGAGTAGTTTTGTTTTCCTCTCTTGAAAAAATGTTGCCTTCTGGGCTTAGATGTTAAAACAGTTGAACAGCTTATTATCGATATTTGTCATAACAAAGAAAAAAAGTAAGAGCAGCTTTATTAGAATCACCTATTTTTTAGCTGTTCTTTTGATCTTCATGTTGAGTCTGCCACTATAGCGTTCAGTGTTATCACATGATTTACTTTACTTTTTGTAAGAAGAGCTATTCCCAAATGTATTAAACGAGTAAAGGCATCAGCTTAAACTTAGGTTTAACGTGCTCTGTTCTCTTGCCAAATTTTCCAGTTCCATTTCTGTTTACAAAGTTGTTCAAATTCTTAAAATGTAGGACTACCTCTGAGCTCATTTTGGAATGTTTTTATGTGCTTTTTTATTTATACTTTCATCTCTTGTGAGTTCCTCAAACATAGTCATAACTTTTAAGTTGAAGTTTTAGACCAAGGCTGTTGAAGGATTATATAACCAGCAGGTCAGAGACTACCAGACTTGTACTTTATTCCTTGTGGTTACTGTCCTTGCCACAAACTTTTTATATCTTCTGACTCCACAACTGCCTGTTTACTCCTTAAATCTCTTTCAACTAAGGTATTTAGAACTTTACTTAACCCTATCTGTACACTCTGGGGTCATTTTTTGTACCCCTGGGGTTGTATTCTTCACATTTTAGAATACTTTTAGCGTGAAGATCTCTTTGAAACATTCAGTATTTCTCAAAAAATCATTTTGACAGACTGCTAGCTCTGCAAAGCGTACGGATCGGCTTAATGAGTAAGTTTCCTCTTTGGAAAGTGGTGGCACAGAGTTCTCCACGTCGTATGAATACGATAGTGGATAGGGTTAAGCAGTCGATATACAGAGGGTTGATTTATTAGCCTCCATTCCATGAATCTGTGAGCTTGAACTTTCTACAGCTTATTTTTATCAGGGAACAGAACCATATATAATATAGTTATATAGCCTTTTCTCAACAAGGTAATAGAGGGAGGGGTTCAAAATTGTCTGTTCCCAAGGCATCTCGTATATTACTTTACCACTTACAGTTACAGATTTATAGTATCTTTGTGTATGACATAAGTGTACTACATTTTTTCCTTTATTCCATCCAGTATTTTGGGAAGTAGATGTTTCACGTACGTAGTCACCACAAACGATATGGTGTGAAAAATTCGGGGTTGAGCGCTATATAAATGTCATTTATTATTATTATTAAAAATGTTATTCAGTTCTATTTCAGTGAAAGTTTCATGTACATATTTCATTTGTTTAATAAAAACAAACAAATATCATTTTCGAGTTCAGTTTAATCTTTCTTTAGGTAACCAGAATATACCCTGATGTCCTAAGTATTTTGGTTATAAAAACTCCCTTATCTTCAAATTCCTTTGTCACAATATGGTCATAAAAAGTTTGGCATGAAATAAGAGTCTTGAACCCAGGAAATTTAGCACAAGCTGTCTCTATTTATATAGACAGGCTAAAAAAACAGCCACACATATTAAAACCATTTATTATTTGTATAAAGCACTCAATTCAAGAATTGTAGACATGTTACTTTGGAAACCATATAACAGGCCTGGTAATAACAGAGATCCAGTAATAACAAGGATTTTTTAAATTCTCTTTTTTTTTTTACTCTTTGTCTATCCCGCGGTTTTATACAAAATAAATTCTGAAATTATGCAAATTGAGCCCTAAAATGTTTATTATAAATGCGATTCTGTTAATTTTAACAAAGACTGATAAAGGAAAAAAATCAGAAATTATGCAAAAAATGATCAATTTTTGCTAAATTATGCAGGGTGCATAAAACCACGGGGACAGCTTTGTCTCTATTAAAAGTTATTGGCAATAACAGGGCCTCATCAGAGCCCAATCGGTTATAGCAGGGACAAAGGCTCTTTAACAATGTGTAAAAAGCAAGAGCGAGAGAGAGAGAGAGACAGAGAATAAGCAGTGACGGAGCAAGCCCATGCAAACCACGCCACTGCAAGCACACGCAGCGGGTGAAGCGAGAGAGGGCTGCGGTGTGCTACAGACTTCGATCTAGACCTAAGCCAACTTACACGCGTGCGTAATTTGTCAATAGTGTCATGCATAGGCCTGCCACATGGCCATGAGAGAGTGCTGGGACGTGCTGTTCGTGGGTACTTGTGGCAAGGGAAACCACCCATGAAGAAGTACAGCTGGATTAGTCCACAAATGCTGACTTCAGCCCTTGCATTTCTGATTTAACAGGACTTTTCTCTGGTCCCACCATACCTGTTAAATGAGGTTTCCACTGTATTTTGTTTTAGTAAAAATTTTATGGCACTGGTTACACAATTAATTAGGTCATATGTAAGTGCTGAAGATTGCAGGTGCTACAAGAGAATAATGAACACAAAAAAGGAGGAGAGATAAGGACGATAGATGTTTGATGATAAGAAACCAAAGGAGCAAACCACACCAGGAGGCTTTTGTGGCCTAGAGATTTAAGTTAAAGTGTTCGCCTCTCATTGAAAAGTCCCGGGTTCGAATCCGGGTAGCAATGGAAACATTTTCTTCTCTAAAATTGTCTCCTTTTTATAACAATATTCTGTCATCTGCTTTTGTCTCCACTTTCTGTCCCAACCTCCTTTGCCCCTTCCTCTTTCTGCCGGATTTCTACTGCTACTCCTTGGCTCCTTCTTACTGCCATCTTTCAGCCACACCCCTGATCTTCTGGTAGGAAAGACCTACACATGATAGCCTTCTCGGACAAGGGCGAAATATCTCAGAGGTCCCGGTTGCAAGTTGCACACATTAAAGATCCCTTGGTGGTCCAAAATCGATAAGTGGGCAAAATTCAAAATTCTCTACGAACTGAAAATGTTAAGTTTAATGTGTACCGGGTGTTCATTCGACCTTACGCATTGCGAGCGCCGTAAAACACTTACCAAAACCAACCCCCCCCCCACACCAGAGCACCCATACATAAACCACGCACGGAAAACAAGTTAAAATTCAACTAAAAATACATGTGTATATGTGCATGCCACTGTTGGGTTTAGTACATCAAATTCAACATTCAGCTGGATCAGAGTAAAGCCCTGGATTCTAATTATAAGATCAATATGTCTTGTTGTCTGTACTTTTGTTGACAGATACATGCTTTTCCAAGAGCTCTTATAATTCAGTTTATGGTTTGTGTATTATCACATTATCTGGCAAAGGATAACATCCAGGGTCTGTGTGGTAGCAATTAGCAATTAGGCGCTTCGCTGCTTCGTACAGGAGACCAGAGTTTGGTTACTGAGTTGGGAATAACTTTTTATCAAGTATCCCGGTCTTTCTGCTAGGATGTATTCCTTCGAGCCAGGGTTGACCCTGACAGACAGGGTTGGAAAGCTGCCACTTAAACAAAATACTTTAAAATTGTGTTGATGGGGGCATAAAAAACATCTACATTAAAAAAACAAACATTTTCAGTGACATTTCGATTCTATATGACTTGTCAATATAATGTGTCACGACGCAGTAGAATCAGGTGCTCGTCAATTTCTGGACATATGGGGTAATTTATATCACCTTAAAGTTTACTCACTTGTCTTGCTTATAATGAAAAAACCCCCCATCTGCCTTGAACAGAAGTAGGGTTGTTTCCATTTTTGAATTAGAGGAGGTAGGGGCGGCCCTGATGTAGTGTAACTCCCATATTTTTTTTTTTTGTACCTTTGAGTCCAATTTTTCAATAAAATCCACTCAGAAATGTGTATAATATGCGTAGAGCCCAAAAAAGCAAAAACCGATAAAAATTGCCAAAAATACTGTTTTCTTTGATTTCATATTTCGATGAGCGCCTGGTTTCACCACCATGCCTCACATATTATTGTTCTAAAACCTTTTTTCTTTTAAAAAAAATGACTACAATACACATTGTGAAATCAGAGTCAGTTTAATCACAATAAAACAGTATTACGTTTCAGTAGTTAACATTCAATTGTGCTTCGTCACAAACATGAACTCATTTCTATTATTACACATGCAGGAAATTTCCCTTTCAGACAATTTTCATTCACAACAAAGAGGTAAAAAAGTGTAGTTGAAGTGCAGAAAAGGCATGGCCAAAGTCAGATTGAGCCAACACAAAATATTGTCCATGAATAAATGACAAAAGAGAAATGATTTGCTAAAAGGTGGAGTGGGAGAACGATGTACAGAACAAAAAAGGATAATGTTGCAAACAAATACAAGTGAAACAACATCCTCCATTAATCATCAAGTGGACTCATAGAGTTTGATTCCAAAAAGGACAAAGCAGGAGCAAAGCATCGGGGCTGTAACAGACAGAAAGTTGTGTTACACTGAACCAGGCAGTAGGCCTACCAATGTCATCTTTCTACAACCAGAAAAGATATTCTTTTTTGAGAGTCATATCTTGAGAATAGAGGTAAAAAAAAACACCCAATTTTTCTGGAGCAAGTGCAAACTGGTTTATAGATTGTAACATGTTACAGATACACCCCGTCTAAAGTAATAAATTCTGACTTAACTCAAAACTGAAAACCAAAGAGACAAAACAATTCCTTCATCCTTGAAAGTAAAGATTATAATTAAAATTAGTCACAAGCACTGACCTCCCCTGACTTTATTGCTCATACCCCAAAGAGCATTTCACAATCCATGACCAAATTACCCCAACTGAATTACATGTATCACAAGTTTATTTTGATTTTCCATTAAAACATTACAAGCATTGTTCAGGGACATAATTTCTTACGCATAATGTCTTCTTAACTTTTCTCTTTACGAGAAATCAGAGTGACCTACAATACTGGCATAGAAGTCTTTCTTAAAATCATCAAAGCATTTTAAGAATAATGGATTACGGCATCAACTCTTTCAGAAAATGTCCCCAAGTTTCAATTCTCAATAGCTATACATATGAAAACAAAAAAATGAGATGAATTCAAATACTGTTTTAAGCAATCTTTTAACTTGCCTTTCATACCTTGAGTAGGACAAAATATGTCTAAGCAACCACCTACTCTGTATTTGAATGTTCCCTGTTCATTTTTTCACCCATTTCCAAACCGTCTAGGAAAAATATAAACATGACGTCTATGTTTAAATGAATATGACAATGTGAACATAATTCATGATGGATTTACTTACAGAGATCTTCAACACAGACTCAATAGACTGATAGCGTATATCTATCAATAAAAAGGAATTGCTCTCAGGTGGTTGCATATGATATGATACAGTCATGTGGTTCACTTTGCAGTTGCATTCCTGGAACTATCTGCAACTGTCAAATTTCGTGCCAACACCATATCTCAAACACCGGTATTCTATTTCTACAACACATCTACTTTAATCAAAATAATACAGAGTAACAAAACAGAGAAATGGCCATTCATAACAGGTACAATTACAACGCATCAAAATAAACAGTTTGGCATGAAACAGTCAATAACAGTAATTTTACTCACGCATTCCCCACACATGAGGATTGTCAGTATCCTGAGGGATTTGAATGATGTACAATTTCCTGAACTGAAGAGATTGAATAAATCATTACAAATCAAACAAAACAACAATCAAATAAGAGTGAATAAAATTCCAGGTTTTCAGAACGATTAAATACTGCCTTCCAAATAAAAGTGAATTTGTAAAAAGGGGTGAACCAGAAGTTTATTATCTACCTTTTAGTTGCGTCAGTACATAAGGAACATGTCCGCGAACTAATGCTCTTTTCACTTGGTTATTGTACCCCCCCAATTTACAGCTGGTGAATCGAAGGACCAACAATTTTAGGATTAAGGAGGGCATTTATTTGAATATTGAACAAGAATATTTTTGAATATAGGACAAACATTTCACAAGTTCGCACAACCAACATTTCACAGGTACACAAAGCACCAGTGCTGCTCCCAATTAAAACCTGAGTAGATCATAAAAACCAACTGAACGATAAATCTCCTACTAAAACCCCTGATGGTGAAAAACTGAAAACCATCTGTCTTTCTGAAACAAAGCTTACAACATTAGAGAAGAGCTATTTCTAATGCTCCCTAACAACCATGCCGCCAACCCACATGACTAGTTCAAACATTTAGTGTAGTCACGAGTTTCAAGATTTATGGCACATAAAACAATCACTATTGTATCTTTTAAAAAAGCAACAAAACCCTCAGCTGTCTTTATAAATAGCTGAAAAATTCTCTTTAATCAAAAACACAACTCTGGTAGTCTCCTTGGCACCTCGAAAAACATGATCTGTTATTGAAATTTATCATAGTTTGTGCACAAAATGGTAAAAGAAAAATGCAAGAATATATACAGGAGAGAGTCAAGTCAGCTGAAGGAAATCAAAGATCTTGCAAAAGAGCTGAAGCAATGCCTCAGTGAGTTGAGCAAAAACAGACCTGCATATTCCACTAATTAAATCATAATGGAATACAGACTATAAATTTCCACTGTCTCATTAAATAAAGAAGAGGCCAAGAGAAACAAGTAATAATAAAAGCATACTGAATATATATATTTACTTTAAAAAGGAAAGACGGAGAAGAGAAACCTAGCAGCTGTTTATTTCCAAAGTTATAATAGAAGGAAGGAGGCTAAAACAAGAGAAATGTTTTTCTAGTATTTCTGTTACCAACAAAACTTATATCATCTTATGAATTGTGTTGACATCTGCTTGTGATGTGATGTTGTCCAGGCTGTCCCACCATTTGAACAGGAAGTTTTGGACTATCAGCTTGAACCACGGTGTCAAAAGCATGCCCTTACTGTCAGCTGACTCTGTAGAGGGAACACAGACGTTTCATTAAATTAAAATTGAATATACTGCCATAAACTGACGATACGCCTTTTTAAAAAATTCAAAGCAGTTTCGAGATAAAGGGGCTATTTGTAACCATTTTAAAATGGCGTTCTTCCGAAATTTGACTTCCAATTTATTCAAAATCTAGTCAGTTTCACTCTGACTTTTTTCACACAAGTAGGGTAACCGATCAGGCTTTCGATTCAGCAAATAAAAGAATTTGGGGCAAAAACTAAAAAAAGCTGTTTTGTCAGCTTATGGCAGTATGCTCTTTGCCTTGAGTATTGCCATAAAGTAAAACACTTCTTAGCAACAGTGACACGAAAAAAGACAAAACTTTTTGACTTAGCTGTTAACGATACATGCATAAACTAAACCATTTGACAGATACTGTGCTTGCACTGTACTGTTCTCAGTCTGAGGGTTCTCTGTTACTAAAAAATCAATACTTACATGTTGATTAAAAAAGGTGGAATATAATGACAATCCATATAATTCTACCTTGACTGATTTGATTGATTGAGTGGGTGTTTTACGGCACTATCGACTCAGTTTTGGTCATGTTAGTGCTTATGTACCTTATGACAGGCAATATACAAGGGGGGATGATCTCTCAAGCACATTCCAGTTTACTGTTTAGTAGATCTAAAAATGTTTGACTTAATTTTAAGTTAAACTGTGTTTGAATGAACCTTGATGTATTATATTTCTTTCCATTGTCTCATTGACCAGTATTGTTGACTACGGTACTGGAATAGAAATATAATAGTAAAGGTCTCTGGTCCCCAAAGTGGAGAGGGCTTTGAATTTAGAAGCTTCAGAAAGACAAGGCTCAATTATTTCCAGTCATAAACACCAGACAGAACAGAAACTAAGGTCTATTTTGGTAAGTCATAATAATAATATATATATTCATAAACGAATTCCAAAGCCATCAACATTTTTTTGAAAAAACCATAAAACAAGGCATATATGAGTGTTAAGAATATTTTGATATGCCAAAGATGCAAAAAATGAGCTAACACCAGTACTTTAGGTGCCATGAAAACTATCCTTGAGCAAATATAGCATTTTTAACTTACTTAATTCATCAGTATAAGTAAGTACAACAACTATCAAAAGAAAAAATATGGCGTCGGTAGCCTAGTGGTTAGGCTACCGGACTCGTAATCGTGAGATTGCGGGTTCAGGGGTTCGAGCCTCAGCTCTGTCTGACGTTGTGTCCTTGGGAAAGGCACTTTACACGAACTTCCCACTTGGCTTGGTCCTTTCGGAGACGGACGTTAAACTAGGAGGTCCCGCTTCTTAAATAACTAATAGTGTTGATAGGGGCCATACCATTTCACTATTTTCAGAAAAAGCATATTGCAAAACACTTGCCAGTACACATATTTATCTACTTTTTAAAACTTTATCTTCACATACTTACCAACAATATCTTTGAGCTCCTGCTTACTGACATATTTATAGCTTTTAACTTCATTGGGATTTGCAACAACATCAACATCTCTTTTGATGAACAAGATGTAGTCGATCTCATGCTCGCCCCACTTGTCATCTTTTGGAACATTCTCAGCTTTGTATAAAATGCGAGTTAGGTAGCTGAACTCGTCAAGTGGAACCTGAAAGAAATAAACCTCAAAGTCAGACATGCTTTTAAATTCCTATTTCTGTCAAGACTGCTAAAATCATGTCTAACTTAAATCAGCATTCAAAAATTCTAAAAAGCATGAAAGATGGAGCTTACTGCAAAAATATGTTCAGAGTGGGGCCTAACAGTGGAAAAAAAACTAAAAAGGAGCTTAAATTCAGTGTCAAGAGTTGGAAAGACTGGGGGAGCGCAAGTTAGTGGTACATGTAGTTCAGAAAATATCATAGTCCTCATTGTATCAAATAATTTCATATTGATCTTGCAAATAGCTGAAACAGCTGTAATTGCCCATCTAAATGAGAAACGCGCATTTTCATACAGGACTTCAGGGTCACGACTTTGACTTTGATCACGCACGCACACAAGACCTCCACTACTGCGTGCTTAGCTTTACGAATATCTCAGATCAAACTGGATATTTGGTTCCCGGCAAAGAGGTCATGATTCCCAGTTATACCTTGGCGCAGATATTTTTCTTGTACTCCATGTGTATTTTACAATTTTTAGCTTCTGTTTTCCTTTTTAATCAACGCCCGTGCTTCGCAACTGATGAGTGTAAAGTAAAAAAACAAGGCTTCGACCCGAGAGCATAAACAAAGTACACTGCGTCAAATGTGAACGAACTTTGATGACCCCGCTGACGTGACGGCCGGTCAGCGAGGCACGTGCTCAAACAAGGTCATCGCACATGATGTGCACGAGCAGTTGAAGTTCACTTTTATCGACCGGCCTTGATGACGGTGATGATGATGGCCAGCCAGAACCAAGTTGAACTTTGGTTTAACGCGACAGTGAATAAATCACCCAGAATGACGAATGTCGATCCCTTTCTAGACGTAACTGCTTTTGTTATGCAACCACTGCATGTCTTAAACAACTACTTTTAACTACTACCGACAGATCGTCATCGGAGAATTCTGGGCAGTAACAAAAACCGTTTGAAAATTAAGGTGCAAATAGCCATTAATTATTAATGAAAGAATGTTATTGTTAATGAACCTGAACAAAACTTGTACATTATGTAACGATATCACTCAGCTATTATCCAATCCAAAATGACACTACCCATGAAGATCGATGTATTTTTTCAACCGTTAATCAAAGAAGAGAAAATACCCCCCCCCCCCCAAGTGTTTTGCGTCGCTCGCAACTGCATAGGGTCACATGAGCTCGCGGGACACATTAAACAATTTCAGTTGGTAGGTAATTTTGAACTTTGCTCGGGTGGCGGCCGAAGCTCACTCTTATTGATTTTGGACCACCAAGGGATCTTTATGTTAACGTGCGTAACCTGCACACGCGACCTCCGAGATTTTTCCCCCTTGACCGAGCTAGGAGTAGATATTTCCTACAATAAGATTAGGGTGTGGCTGATAGACATCAGTAAGAAGGAGCCAAGGAGTAGCACTAGAAAGGCTGCCAAAAGATACGTTTAATTTGAGCAAGGTCAGGATGAAGTGAAAGATGCCATAATACCCTCCCTCCCCCCGACCGCCTTCTCTTTGGATCCATTCTTCATTCAGAAAAGCAGAGTCTGGATTCAAATTGTTACGATTGTCCAGTTCGAAGTTGTATGAAGCTCTCGTCCAGTTATCTGGGTCTCTCTTAGACCCATTTAGCCCACACTTTATGATACCTTAGTTGCCCTTTGATAATTTTCCAGGATCAAGTACCATAGGTATTTCAAGAACTTATAACCGCTTATCTTCAGGAATAAGAAATTCAACTCGCTAAACGTCTGCTTCTGACCAGAGCTGTTAAAGTACTTTTAAAAAGGTACTTAAGTACAAATTTAAGTACAATCTAAAATATGTACTTAAGTACAGTAAAAGTACTTTCCTGTAAAATGTACTTGAGTACTAGTACTTCTTAAAAAGTACTTATGAGTACATTTTGAGTACTTTCTGCTAATATGCTAAAACACGTCAGTGCTAATGCAAAACATCATATTGAATAACATATCTAGTATATTTGACAAATTCGGCCATTTATTACTAATTATGTAAACAGTATACAAAGTATTTGAATATACGCACTGAACGTAGGTGGAAATTGTCCGTGAAATTGAAAAAAAACCCCAGCAAACAAACAGACGCAACTAGTGAGTAAGTGATATTATGAATAGAATTTGTTTGAGCAAGACAATATGATCAAATGTAAGTCAGTCCTAGAGGTCGGAAAGTAGAAAAAAGTATCAAAATTGGAAAATGTAGAGACAAAGTTGATCTAAGAAAATAAAAAATGGATGAAAATGGATTCTTCTTTAACAAATCCTCATGGAATCAAGGTAGCCTTAAGCACAAACCACAAAAAAAGGAAAAAAGAAATGTAGGTAGCCTAAAATATTGTTAGATTGATATACATTGAGAACTCAGTTTCAGTTTCAATTGATCATAATAGTGGCAAGACAGAGTTTGGTCACACTGTGTAGTCCACGGCGCCCACGGCAAACCAAAACATGCCTGCATGTAATTTCCTAGAGTCTAGTAAATGTAGTGTAACCAAAAAATCTCTACTACAGTAGTCTCCGCCTAAGATCCCAGTGCTCGGGAGCAAGGGAGATATGGGATCTTAGCCCGACGAAGCTAAGGAAGAATCTACAGTGACCCAAGAACTGACGTGACCCCTGGGTAGGTTTATGACATATGGCGAGCAAAGAGTGGTCATCCTTGAGGACCAATCACAGTAGCATGGTGGCATGAGGCAAGCCATAATATTATATCGTACACTCATTAGCATATCGTCTCGAGATCTTTATCTACGTTTATCCAGTTGCCCCTCCCCTTTACCTGTCCAAAAATTGTAGCCTTCCATCTTTGATTGAGTCCCCCCCCCCCCCCCCACCCCCCCGCCTTTGTCGTTACGTACTATTACGCTGTGACCACACCAATTAAAATTCAGGCTGTCTCGCAATTTCGGGAATAGAGAAAAACTGCCTTCAACTTCAATGGTCAGGGAAGAGTTCACAGTTCGATGTGATCCCGCCTGGAGCGAACTTGTGGGCCCAACCCACCCAGCGAGGGATGAAAGTTCAGGTGGCGAGCTCAGATGCGAGTGCGATGTTTGGGGAAAAGAAACGCCCATCGATCAGTTCACACCTCGGTGTGATCCCGTCTGGGGATCATTGTACTTGTACCGTTTCATGGAGTTTTGCAGCGCATGTGATCACTTTCACAAGAGTGGCTGATCTTTGACGTGATGGGCAGTTCTTTAATCTCAACTTTTAACTCTTGGTTGATCGGCTGTGCCCGCCCGGGTGTTTGTTCCGCAAATTATGATCGGAAATGTCGGCATTTATTCTTTCATTAAGCTTCAAAAGTACTCAAAATGTACTTGAAAAGTACTCAAAAGTACTTTTATAAAAAGTATCGGAGTACAGTAAAAGTACTGGTTCTCAAAATGTACCGGAGTACAGTAAAAGTACCGAAAATTGTAACGTAAGTACAAGTACCGGAGTACTTGTACTCCGTTACAACCAGCTCTGCTTCTGACTCTGAAGTTTGGGGATGCCCTGTGCATGGTTTGACTTCCAGATTCACTAGTCCCACTTTTAGACAAAATGCACCAGAGATGTATCTTCTATTTACTCAGTTCACTTTCACCAAACACAGCAATGACAATTTCTTTCCTTCAGTAAGCCAAAATCAAATGAAAACACGAACAACTGCCTTGGGGCATCCCCCAATGAGGGTTGCCGTATTTGAGGTGATGTAACAGATTCAAACATCTAGTCATACAACTTGTACTTTGGCAACAACAAGACGTGTACGTTTAGCACACAGTATACACACGATAGATAAGAAATCCTGTTTGTTACCTACGACCATTTTCATCTTATTTTTCAAAAAACCCTCACAGATCTTGATTTGCCTGATCAGGACCCTTATTGAGGAATGGCCAAAGGCCGTGGTCCATATCTTATACGATTTTGGCATACAGCAAAAAGACACCTCTACTTCAGTTAAAGCTACTAGTTTGAGCAACACTTACTGTCAGTATGGAGGAAGTTGAACAAATACTTCAAACACCCTCAGCAAGAAATGAATTTATTGATCTCTTGTCAAATTGGGTTTTCAAAGTTAAAGTTTGGAGAACAAAATTTATTTTTTTATCTTGATTAACATAGTGGCTTCCTTAAATGTTGGGGTCATTCCCAGGACCTCGTAGTCATTAGGTAAAAAAAAAATTGTAAATTGATACAGGTTTTTCAGTTGTAGAGATATATGTGAGGCAGCGTGGTGGAATCAAGCTCTCGTCAAAATAATCAAAGTGAAGAAACTTGCATTTCTTCGCAGGTTTGTGAATTTTTATCAAATTTTTGTTTTTTGGCTCAACACCTTTTATGCCCATTAAAGAACTCATTTCTGTGTGAATTTTTCTGATAAACGTTGATTAAAGGCGCAAAAAATGTAAATATTCAGTTACAACGGACTCTTAAGCTAAGGAAATAACTAATCTTTGGCGGCCATTTTCTTACTAATTTTACCTCTGAAAACAGGTGACCCCCACCTCCTTTATTCGCAAATATCTCGACTTGATTTCAAGATAAATGTTTTTTTTTCATCCAAAAAAACACAAGTGAATAACCTTTAAGATTATACCAATAACTCTACATGCCCAAAAATTGACGAGAGCCTGATTCCACCACGCTGCCTCACATATAGGAAAATTTGTTAAGTTTTTGTAAGAGTTTTATAGCAATTGCAACACAAAAAGGACACATAAGTGCTGAAGATTAGAGGTTTTACAAGAGAGTAGCAAACACAAAAAAAGGAGGAGAGATCAGCGTGACAGATGTTAGAGAAGGAAAGAAGGAGCAAACTACTTTAGAGTGCCTGTGAACTACTTACGGAAAAGATTATGGACTTATCTTCAAAGCAAATGAAACGACGAAGGTGCTAACAAGGGGCTGGAGAGGTGACTACCACTTCTTGTAAGTCTCCGGAGACAATAGTAATTACAGCTCACTACACAAATCGATTCTTAAACTCTAGCAATGGCCTCCCAGTAATATGCAGACAGGTGTGGGAATCACCAGTAAGAGGCTAAAAGTATCAAAACTTAGCAAACAAAACAAAACGAATTCAGTAAAATATAACGATTACTCAAACATTCAAAAACCTCTTTCCTCAAAAAAATAAAAACAGCAAATCATTTCTAGACAAAATCCTAACAACATTATTTCTTTAAACCCAAAAAATATGATTGTTCTATACATAACCGCAAAAAAGACTACATTTAACATAAGGACAAAATTGAACAAAAATCATGTTAGTTTAGTGCACTCACTTCTTCAGTCATACTTTTATCTGTTCTAATAATAAAATTTACTTTGTTTCTTTAACACCAAGTTCAAAGCACAGAACAACACATAAAGGAATTATAACATCAAATCACAAGGATACTACACATAGAGAAAAGGTAAAAAGCCACGTAATATCTTTAATAAAAAAAAATATATGAATCTTGCCTTCCATTAGCAAAAGCAAGATGTCATCAAAAGAAATTTTAGAAGGATAAAAATGAAACAGGAAACGCTGTCATGACACTTACCTGTTGAGGCTCAATACCAAGCTCATGTTTGAGCTTCCTCTGAGCTGCTCGTCTCACACCGATGGCAGCTGACTCATCCAACTCAGCAGCAAAGTTGAGTGGATGACTACAGCATGTATTGGTAAAGTGATCTGGATATTGAAACGAAAAGGATGATTGTCATTATGAGGTAACTCAACGTAAGTGCAATGCAGCTGATACACACAAAGAATTATAATACACAAATAAACCTTATTCTTACTTTTAAAACTAATGCTACAAAAATTCCAAATGGATAGTGTGCTTCAAACATCTCACCCAAGGAACTTTGGTTAAGCAAAAAGTACAACACCAAAAACCCATCAGTACTCTTTGTTTCACAGTATATTATATGAAATGTCAATAATATTAAAAGTCAAACTTCAAGCACATCCAATTGAAAGTTTTCCAAGAGAAAATTATTGAATAAAACAAAGTTTACCTGGAAATGTGATTTTCGCTTCAGCTCTTTGCTGTAGCAATAGTTCTCCTTTAGAATTAAACAGGAACACACTGAATGCCCGATGCAGCATGCCTGTAAAGAGATGAACAGCAATGGTTGTCACAGTTGTAAATCATATAGTCAAACCTGCTCTAATGGCCACCTGTCAAAGACAATCATCAGTGCAAACGACCACTTCCGGTTCCCCCTTTTGCATTCTGTACAGCAAAGTCTGATTATCTTCAGTTCAGCCGTGTTTTCCATTAAGAGAGGTTGCTCGAATAGAGTTTTTAAAAATATTGTGATTTTACTATCTTTTAGTTTACAACTGTGTTTGTTTTTAGCAGATCCCGAGGTATTATTTCTTTTGTATAGGCTACAAATACTGACTAAAAATATGTTTCTGAAAAACTACATCATAAAAACATATGTAATAAAGTACCTTTATAGCACATAGAAGTTTTTTTAAGCTCCTTGTTTGTTTTTTTGTTGTCAGATAGAATAGATGAGGGAAGGAATGAAACTATGTCACCTAGAATTTACAGAAATATAGTTGGGAAGACATCATAAAGATTATCTCATAAAATCAATTCAAAACAAAATGAAGTACAGTTCTACCAAGAAAATGAAATAGGTAGATAAATCAAGCAAATTCAACATGATGTTATCCTTCTAAAGTCAGGAGAAAAGGGTACAATTTAGGGTGTATGACTTACCCTTATTTATATTTTCTAACAAATGACACACTTTTTTCGAGGCTGAACCAATATTCTTGTCATTTTCATCAACAAGAATGCACTCTTCTTCCATAAGCTTCACCTGAGTCTCATCCAAACCTTTGAGGACATCATCTCCAGACATTCTAGGGTGGTGAAAAAAAAAAAATAATGTCAGGTTAGTAAAAAAATTAAATAAAAGCGAAATAAAATCGCTCCTCTCCCCCTGCTCCCCAAAACACACACACTTAAGAGCTTTATCCACATTTTTTCAGCATACAAGCTCATGGGATAAAGTATAGTACTGTAAAGAAATCTGTCTTAGAGACCTACCCGTAACAGTGCACAATTCAGGTATAAGTTGATATTTTAATAAAATTCTAGATTGATGAGATTAGTAGAAATAAAGACCTTTCAATCTTCTTTAAAGTAGATATTCTTTGAATCTCCTATTTAAGAGTTAACAAAAGCATGAGCACAAAACTCTACAACCTGAACTGTAACCTCAGAGAAGTACAGTTGAACCTGCATATAACGGAATCGCAAAGGAGCCTGAAAAAAATTTCGTCAGGAAAATTAAGCAGGAGGAGGTTTCTGAGGCAAAAAAGCTTGTAGGGATCAAGGGTTGCTTGTCTGGCTGGCAAACAGTGGTCAAAACTTCACACCTCTCAAGTGCTATCCTAGCATCTCTTACTCTCCGATATGACATGCGTCAGTTCTATCCAATGCCACCTGTGCTTGCATTTCATAGAACCAGTGTTTGATCTATCAAAAACAGAAGCAATTTAGGCCATAAAACATGTCCTTTTCTTCCATCGATAAGCAGTCAACCAATGCCATCCCTTCTACTTCTACACATGTAACAATGATTCAAAAACTTTTTTCTCTGCTGGCTGTACCATCAGAGCAGCAGGCACTGGTCAAACCTCTGGCTACCAAGGATATTTGTCAACAACATCATGAAGTAATGACTTAAGAGGATAATAATTTTTCAAACCGGCCACTGAAATTGGCCTTTTTTGATGTAGGAGCAAGCAAAATTTGTTCACTGAAAAAAGTCATGTTCATACAGTTTTATAGGTTTACAGAATTGGAATTATAAGCCCAAGGATTTCTTTAGTTTAGTCTAAAGTTGTATGATGTCTCAACCATATTGTTCTTGATTTAAATAATAATAATAACAAATGAGTATGTGCATTGTCATTACGTATGATTGTGTCATGGTTCAAAGTAATCAGAGTCCTGCTTATTTGCTTGTTTTAATGAAATGTGCTGCATGAAATTTTGTCAACATTTTGATTTTGAATTAATTTAAGTCTTGAGCTTGATACCTTTTTTAAAATCCATTTTTATAATTTGAACATTGAATTTCACCACTTCTACAGCTCTTTCTTATCCAATGAAGAAAACCTACTTTCAGACAATTTGAAAATTCTTTGTGGTACCGGTCCTTTCACTTGATACTAATTTACTATTGTGTCACAACGCGGTGGAAACAGGCGCTCGTCAATTTATGGGCATGTGGTATCACCTGAAAGCTTATATTCATTTGCTTTGTTTTCAGTGAAAACAAAAATTCCTGTCTTTAAATACTAATCTGCGATTGACAGAGAGGTGAGGTTGCCAGGTTTCAGTGGTGAAATTGGCGAGAATATATATATGGCTGCCAAAATTTGGTAACTCCAATCGTTAAAGAGTCCTTGACAACAGAAAAATGAAATTTTTGTGCCATTAATCAACGTTTTCCAGTAAAATTCACATTGGGAGTGTCTTCACATGGATATAAAAGGAGTTGAAAGTTTAAGGCAAAAAACAGAAATTCTATATAGATCTATAAATTTATATATATATATAAGAACAACGAAGTGACTATTTCTCAGAAAGCCCGGGGAAATTTAAAACTTGATTCTATATTTCTTCTCCGAAAGGTTTCCGTTCTCGAGACTTTTGGGTTATTAGTGAGATTTAGGCGTCATCTTTCATTCTGCTATCCTGCGAGGACTGGGAAGAAGCATTTTTTGTATCGAAGTCAATTTCTAGAGCTAAAGTTGTGCTTGGGGCAACGTTCCCAGACTATACTTCATCTGAAAATGCCTTCAAAGGGTACAGCGAGAAAACAAGAGCTTGACCTTGGCAGTAACCTATTTTGCATTTAGTCACACCTAAAGCAAGAACTAAAATCCTTCATGTAAACCCCAAAAAATGAAACCCCCTTACGCGCCCCCCCCCCCTCAGTTCACACTTTACACACACACGTGTGCGCTTGGGCCACTCCATTCGCAAATTATCAATAAATCTGGAGAACGGAAACTGTTCGGAGAAATAGAGTTCAAGTTTGTATTCCCGAGCGTTCGAAGAAATAGAGCCGGCCTAAAAATGCTTGTTTCTCCGAATAGGTTATTTTGACGAGGGCCTGATTTCACCACGATGCCTCACATAGCCAAGCTTCTCTGTAATTGGTTGCTAATCAATTTTCGATGTTATGTTTCTTCGGCTGTTCCCACCCCCCTTACTTGAGCCTAGATCTAGATTTAGATCAATACGTTTGATGCGCGGCGAGCTAAGATATAAAACCGAACAACTGCAAAACATAAAATTAACTCTACTCTTGGGGCCAAAACCTGTAAATAACAATAGCGGGGTGGGAACTACCGAAAAACTACCCAATTTTCCCCGTGCATGACCATCGCGCAAGTCTAGATCTAGATGAGTCAAAACTGGCCAGTTCATCAGTTACCAGTCTAGCACTAGGCCTACTCAAAAGGTTGTAATTGGAGAAATGCAGTTATGTTTATAATACTGTCAAGCGCCATTTGCCGATCAGCGCAATCTTAAGATGGCGCAGAACCATATGACGATCCACAGAAAGCGCGACCATCTTGAGAAGGGCGGCGCGCCATCCACGGACTATTTCAGAAAATGAAAAGAGCTGCGCGATCGTAAGATTGTGCAAAGCAAGCAAGAATTGTGCCATCTGCTGATCGCAGTTTTTCAACGTTGGTTTGGCAGGAGACCGAAAAGTAATGTGGCAACCCAGAATGAAAGGGGAAAGCAAAGCACTTAGAATCGAAACGCAAAAAGTCAAAAGAGAAAGGCAGTATGGGGCAAGACTTGCGTCCTCTTTGAACCTTTTAAAACATTTCTTTGAAATTAATGACAATAAATTCTGCGGCGTTTTGTTAGAGAACTTTGCAAAATCGTTTGTTTGAGGGTGATGGCGCGTCGCGCCCATCTCGAGATGGGCGCACTTTCTGCGGATCGTCATATGGTTCTGCGCCATCTTAAGATCGCGCTGATCGGCAAATGGCGCTTGACAATACCATCAGCTTCATGATCCTCCTGAAGTAGGAGAGGCAATAGGATTGTTGATTTGACTGTATTGTAGTAGATCTAGATCTAGATCTAGACCTACTTCCACAGTGATATAGATCTAGATCTAGATTTTTAGATCTAGAAATCTAGATCTAGATCTAGATCTAGATTCTAGACTTTAACTAAATCTACCCTAAATCTAGTCTAGGTCAGAAGGATTTTTTTTCTCTCCATGAACTACAATTGACTCAGGATAATGCTAACCTGGAGGTCGTAGAAAAACTGAACTTCTGAAACTGACAGCATGGAACTGAGACTGAAGTAGATCTAGTGATCATTTTTTGTGCACTCATCAGCAGCTGACAAGAAAAAAACTGACTCGATTGCCTTCTTTGCTGACAATTTGCCACACTGACACTGGCACCAATCCTACTCTTAGAGACAGGGAATCTAACACATGGCAAACATGTCGAAATCGACCTGTTTGACCCCTTGAATGACAACGTCACTGTTAATGATCTGCACAAGACTGATCGGGATGCCATAGTTGATATAATCGATGAAGGCATCACAAGCTGAAGTTCTGAAACGTGGAATTCTTTCTAGATTTCTAGAGAATCTATTACCTGCACGTAAAAGAAATCCGAACTGGCAAAAAAGCAAGAACAAAGTATTACTAGATCTAGATCTAAGTGTTCACAAAAGGAGAAGCAGCATCTGCAAGCAAACAACGAGACTTAAAAAGACCTACGACGATACAGTCGCTACACCTAGCTAATTTAATAAGTCAAGAATGAAGAGAATGAAAGTAGGATACAGTGCAAGTATGGCCTGATGTTTGTAATCCCAGATTTTTATTCTTTCCTTGCACTCTTCGAGGAAGGGGGGAGTGGCAATGTTGTACACGAAGAATAACGAATACAAAACACCTTCATTATAATCTAAAGAGAGTACTAAAAAATCTAAAACAATGAAAACCAAATAATTGTTCTACATTAGTGATTCATTCTATTTTGGCTAATTCGGATATTCCTAGATCTTGGCCAGTTTTTACCGCTGAAAATGTTGATACTAAAATAATTCTGGCTGTACAATTTTTTCGTGTTCTAAAACAAAAGAGCTAAATCAACTAGTAGACTGAAAATATCGCTCATTTAAGGAGTAAATTAGTTCTTTGGCTTGACCATGGGCTTGACCGATCCGATTACGAGAAGCGTTAAAAAAGTGTTATTATACACTAACAGCCTTTCCTCACGAAATACCTAGTGTTCAATCTCATTCCCCTGTCTACTTCTTCACCTCTTCATCTCATCCCATTCCCCCTTCCTCCTCCTCCTTCCCTCCTCCTCCCCCTCCTCCTCCCCCTCCTCCTCCATCCGTGGTTATCACTGCTGCCACCTCCTCCTCCCCCTCCTCCTCCATCTTCTCCTCGATCCTCCTTTACAGGAATACCAAAAATATGTGAGTGGCGCATAGAAATGAGGACAGGTTGAGTCCAAAGGTAAGATCTCCTCTGTTTTGAAGAAGGCCTTGTGTGTATGTGTATAGTAGGCCCATGTCGTATGTTTGTACGCTTGTATAATATGTATCTTTACCCTTGCATACCGAATGTTCGAGTGAGTGAGTAAGTGTGTGTGTGTGTGTGTGTGTGTGTG